CAGGTTCATGCGGGAGACGACCATGCCCTTCTGGTTGTTGTAGAGCACGGGGCTGAGGATGACCTTGTTGGTGGTGACGGAGGACTGGATGGTGTAGCGCTGGAGGCTGCCGGACAGGACGACGCGGCTGACGGAGGAGCGGGCCATGAACTCGCCCATCTTGGCGGAGGCGGGCTCGGCGTCGGTCAGGGAGTTGAGGCCGAAGTGGTAGCCAGGGCGCTGCTCGCAGTGGCTGAAGTTCTTGGTCTTGACGATGTCGATCAGCTGACCGTCACCACGGAGCTGGGGCATGGGGGCGAGCTCGGGGCGGCTCTGGAGCTGGTACTGGGGCAGGGGGCTGATGTCGTACATGACCTCGCACTCGCCGGTGACGGAGTCCTCCATGGTCTTGTAGACGCCGTTGACGGAGTTGTGGCTGGGCTTGTTGTTGATGCGAGAGCTGATGAGGTTCTCGGCCTGAGTGTCAACCTGCAGCTGGCTGGCGATACCCTTGAGCATGTTCACCTCCCAGGTGGGGATGTTCTTGCTGACGATCAGCTCGTCGACGATACCGTTCTTGAGCTTGATCTCGAAGGGCTTGCTGCTGATGGGGAGCTGGTGCCAGCTGAGCTTGCTGGAGGGGATGGGGGTACCCCAGCCGGCGGGCAGCTGCTCGTTGATCTTGGCGAACTCGGCGTTGGAGACCTTGGCGATGAGGGCGTTGTCGGACTTGGGCTGCACAGACAGCTGGGCCTTCATGAGGACACCGGCGTACTGGTTGGCGACCTGGTGCAGGGCGGTCAGGGTACGACCGCGCACCTGGTACTTGTACTCGGAGCCGGACTTCCAGCCATTCTCGGAAGAGGCAGCAGCGGCGGCCACTGCGAACAAGGGGAAACGACGGTGAATTTCGGTTTACAAATCGAACGAATTTCAGTTCAATTTCGGTGAATTTCGAGCAAAAGCTACTGAATTTTGAGAAGGATTTCGATGAGTTTTAATGAATCTCAGTGAATGTCTACTTTTTGTTGAGTTGTATTGTCTTTCTGCCCGGGAAGGGGTTGCTCTTTTTGCCTGCCTGTCAGGCGGCTTCCTAGGGCTAAGTGTAGAGAAATCCACACTTCCTGGTGCGGAGTGATTCTCCACACTTGGACCTGTTGAGTTTGCAGTCTCCACCCTTCAAGAGTGGAGTAGCTCACAGAGCCTCCATCTCTTGGCATGGCGGAAACATGGAGGAGTCCAAACTGAAGCGTGGAGACTGCAAACTCTGCACTTCCAGGTGTGCCGTTTTCGACACGGATTTTCACAGTGAAATTTCACTTGGACCGCAGCAGGGTTCTCGTGCATGAAAAACTAAGAGGCAGTGGCCGGGTTGTGGGACTTACCGAGGCAGCACAGAAGCAGAGACTTCCACATCATCTTGGCGCTGTGGGATGCTTGGCACCGTCCAACGTACCGAACTGAGCCCCGCTCGGGGTTTATATACCGTCAAAAGTGCAAAGCGAATGCGATGGGGCAGTGCTGCGGCAGCACCCCCGCCCCCGGCAGTGCCTGGCAGTGCCTGGCAGCAAGGCGCGCGGGGCAAGGGTCACCGCCAAGTCAGCCGCACTGTGGCCAAGCGCGCTCCGTTTCGCAGCGAGTGCATTTAGGCGGTACGAAACGCCCCCAAAGTTTGACCACTGTCATTCAACCACTGTCATTCAAACTGCTACATCCACTTGTCTATGTTTTGCAATAAATCATTTGTTGCGATGTTTTGCAGCAATCACTGGTAAATCAAATGCTTTGAAACTATACTGTTAAAGGCATGCAAACAGTCTTCCATGCCCTTCAAGCACGCGAACCTTGTTATGCCTTTGAAGGGGCGTTAAAATTATGCTTGGAAGTCTTATGTCAATTCTGTAGCTATCGGACACAACCGCGTATCTACTATGGTATTCCCTATGAACATACGTTGTTGTGTCAGACGAACACTCAATTGACGCCCAGGATGTAAATTGTTTACGCCTTGTAAGGGCATGGGGTTTATGCCTTTGTTGCACCGGTGATGATTCCTAAAGATGCAAAATGTAGAATTTTAATTAATTGGACATCACACTGTGAGAAAAAAGTACGGAAAAAGTACGGAACATGTCTGGTCAATAATTTGCCTGGACCGTCCGTACTTCCCAACTACGGAACGTTCCGTACCTATTTTCCATACCCATTTACATGGGTTTATATGGAGCTAGTACGGAACGTTCCGTACTTTTCTCCGTACCTCCGTACTATATTTTTCTGTACCAATTCCGTACAAAAGTACGGAATTTTTTACAGTGCAAGAAGAAAGTACTATAAAACCATGCAGGGTTCGATAAACTATTATGGAATTTATAATGTTTTATTGCAACATGTTGCAGTAAAAGTTTCGCAAATGAATGACGGTGACGTGAATCAAACGCACTGAAAAAAGTTGACCAGTAGGATACGCCCATTAGGAGAATTATTTTATAACCCAAATTTCGGCGAAAAAACCTTAAGGTTTTAATTTGGGTGATGAAATACCTTCACTCAAATTTGTGAGATGGAAAATACCTCGCTCAAAATATGGCATTGATCAAGACTCTTTCCTTCTCAGTGAGGTAGGATCGGCTCGTTTTAATATGGAAAAGATTCAAAACAATGACCTGGACTGAGGAGAGAAATAACGATCGCACGCTCTCATCTTCAACAGAGCGTCATTTAGATCAGGATTCCCATCAAACTTGACAGTCGGTGGGGCAAAGACCAATCTATGTGCGGTCCATGTTATTGGGTCCCTTCCAGAAGACTCCCTTTGCTTTGCAATAAGCGTGCTTGTGTTTAAGGTCCGTCCACTGTACACAATGTACAGTGCATCCGCACAGAAACAGAGTTCCGTGGAGAAGCGCGGATTCGGCGCCTTGCCTGCCGGCCTGAGTCAGGCAGATAAGGAACCCTGCCGTCCGCAAGGCGGTGGCCGGCCGGCCGTCGGCCGCGTGGAAACCGGCCGATCGGGGAAGGAGCGCTGACAGGAGCGATCTCTTTCTATATCTCTTTCCATCAGGCGCGTGTCCGAAGAAAGGCGCGTGTCCGAAGAAAAGAAAGGGGGCGGGCGCACAGAGTGGATTGCTTCGTCTAGGTGGTGGCGCCAAGGTGAGGGTCTGGGTGCGCGGTGGGCCAGAAGACCGGTGGAGGCGGACAAGACTCTAGACGCGTTTTGAGCTCCAGAGTCGTTAATCAGGACTCGAACCAAACGTGTGACCCCACCAATGGATTGCTCTCCGAACGAGGAATCCATTGGTGGGGTCACACGTTCGGTTCAATACAAGCGCAGCAATTGATCCAAATAGCCTACCACCTTCGATGAACCATTTAGTCCCAATATACAATTCCAATTGAAAATCTGAGTGGAAAATTCAGGTTGAAAATTATTTTTGTGACGTGCCTCCTTACGGACGTATGCGATAAGTGTGTGACTTGTCACATGAAGGCCCACTCCCTTCAGGGATGTGCACTGTCAAAATTTCCTACTACTTTCCACGGGAAATGTACAAAAAGATATAGTTCGGAAAAAAGTACGAAACATCTGTACTTGTTCCCTGTGACGTCATGTAACGGGTGCGGACAAAGAGTACAGAAGGTCCGTAGTTGACAGGTGGACGTTCTAGGCAAATTATTGACCAGAATTTTTTCGTGCTTTTTCTGACCTTTTTTTTTACCAGTGTGAGTGCACAAGTTGTTCTTATCGCAACGCTGACATGTCACCAACACTGCAGTGGCTGCTCTGCGCAAGGACGAGATGTTGAAAGCCGGATGTGCGCAGAGCAACGTTCGTGTATTTGCAGCTGGGGGAGCCATTTGAAGATCCCGCTGGAATCATACTAGCCGGGTAGGGAGCAGGCGTCAGTGGACCCCGCGAGTTCACTCTACGTTGCGGTCACGTTAAGACAGATCCAATCGAAGCAGTTTCGCTGATGCAATTTTTAACGGAGTTCAGGGCACAGTGGGCTAGAAGACCGGTGGAGGCGGTCCAAATCCCGATCGAGGTTTGAGGTTCAGAGTCGTTAAATTGGGCTCGAACCGAACGGATGACCCCACTAATGGATTGTTCTCCGAACAACGAATCCATTGGTGGGGTCACACGTTCGGTTTGAGTTCTGTTTAGAGACTGTCGAGCTTCAAAACGCGTTTCGAGTCTTGACCGCACCAGTCTTCTGACCCACTGTGTCACGTGTGTCAGTCAACATGAAATAGAGGTTTGCGCCTGATGGAAGTTGCACCACAATGTTTATTTTATTTGAAATTTATCTTTTCGTTCCTCCCGTGGTTCGTTTCAAAACTACACTCACGCCCTCGGTTTGGACGTGACCGCCAAGGGCATCCTGGAAGCCAAAAAATAAATTCAAAAAAAATCTTTAAATTATTTAAACGTAACAGGGGGAAATTCGTAACAGTTTACACTGAAAAGTCAAAGGACGGAATTCATTCCATCCTAGGGGAAAGAAACAAAGTCTCGCCATTCTGTGGCGAGAAACAAAAGTCTCGCCATTTTTTTGGCGAGAAACAAAAGTCTCACTATTTTTTGGCGAGAAACAAATGTCTCGCCAAAACATGGCAATAATTGCAACCCCACTCTAATGGATACCAGGAAATATCCCAGTCAATTATTGCCATATTTTGGCGAGACATTTGTTTTTGGCGAGACATTTGTTCCTCGCCAAAAAAAGATAAATGGTGAGACTTTTGTTTCTCGCCACAGAATGGCGAGACTTTTTCGTCTCACCAAATTTTGGCCATCCGTCTCGCCATTCAGTTTTCAGTGTACACACTGCTCAAGAACCGTCAAGAACGGTTGCAATTCCCACGGAATGTTTTTAGTAATTTAACCGCGTTTTAACTAGGCTAACAATGGCGTGAGATAGCGATCGAGAACACAGAACAGGCGGGCAGTCACCGCCCGACAGAAGAGCTGCTGACTGCAGCGCCGCACCACGCCGAGTCTCGGCCACTCCAAAACCGCGCGGCAAAAGGACTCCCTGGTTCGTCTCCGGTTCGCGCCAAAACGGCCTCTGCCCTGCACCTCGCCCTCTCGCCTTGGGCACGCACGACCCACCGCACAGTGCACTGCGAGAAAAAAAGTACATAAAAAGTCCGTACTTCTGTCCTTTTTTTCCGTACCGTAAGTCGGGGTAATATGAGACGGAGTTTGGTTAACGTAAGATTCGCTCTAAGCCCGCTATTCGGCCACAAAGAGAGCCTCGACCATGAGAAATTAATTACTCTAGATGGTACCATTTTTCACTGTGAAGTTTGACAGGGATGAGTCATCAAATGCCACGAGCATTATTATTCAAACGAAGTAAATCATGCGTCTCATATTACCCCGAAATTGTCTCATATTACTCCGGCTTACGGTACCCATTTACATGGGTTCATATGGAGCTGGTACGGACGTTCCGTACTTTTCTCCCTACCTCCGTACTCAATTTTTCTGTACCATTTCTGTACAAAAGTACGGAAATTTTTTACAGTGTGGGCCAGAGGACCAGTGCAGGTGGCTAAAATTCTAGACGCATTTTAAACTCCAAAGTCTGTACACAAACGTGTGACCCCCCACCAATGGATTCCTCCTTCGGGAGCAATCCATTTGAGGCTCCACACGTTTGTATCGAGTCCCATTCAGCGACCCAAGCTCAAAAACCTATCCAGGATTTCGACTGCTTCCAACGGTCCTCTAGCCCACTGTGGGACAGCGCGCGCGGCTGCCCGGTCAGCAAAGGCAATATTGTCAATGCGAGTGCCATCCGTTCCCGATGAGTAGCGTGAGATTCGTCAAAACGAGGGGTCCGCTATTCAATAGATCTTATCTGGTTGTCTCCAGGTCAAGAATCCTTTGTTAAATGCTCGCGAATTTGTGTGAGTTTGATAACAGAGGACGGATAGGAAAGTTAACAGAGCACATTTTAAAACCCACTATGAATTTGCTGTCTATTTCGTTTATCACGGTAAAAACGGAGCCTGGTTATCCCAGGAAGCCAATGGTGAAGGCTTAAGTGATTTCCAGGGAGCTGCTGGGAAAACCAGGAACCGTTCTTACCGTGATAATTTTGCGGTGATAACATCATCATCTCTTTTTCACTATCTGTCCAAAATGGTGACAACTTTCAGAAATTTGCGTACATTTCAGACAGCGATTCGGGAAACGACCACACTTTCATTCCAGGAACGTGACATCACGTTGAAACGAACGTGACAAAGTGAACAAGCTGATTTTTGCCCAATTCACACCCAAACGAATATGACACAATGCTCAAACGAACGTGACATTTTGTCACGTTCGTTTCAACGTGATGTCACGTTCCTGGAATGAGAGTGCAGATAAGATCTTTCACCCAGGAGCGGTAAGGTAAGACCTTTTTGTTGACAGGAGCCTTGGAAGTCCGCCCGGTTTGGACGGGCTGGCCCGCGGCGTGCCGTGGATGCATCGGCCTTCGCAGCCAGGATGGGCAGAGGCATCGTCGGCCACCTGGTGCTCGTCACATCCCTGCTGGCTCTGCGAGTGTCGGCGGCAACGCGGAGCCGTGCCGACCGCGACGTAAGTCTTGTCCTAATACGAAATAGGGGAAAAGTAGACAAACAATCTGCACAGGGCCAGCCGGTGGAGGCGGTCAAAATCCCGGACGCGTTTTGACCTCACCAGAGTAGCTAAAAAGGACTCGAACCAAACGTGTGACTCCACCAATGGATTCCTCTTTCGAAGAGCAATCCATTTGTGGCGCACATGTTCGGTTCGAGTCCTGTGGCGGCTCTGGAGCTCGAAACGCGTCTAGAATTTTGACCACCTCCAACGATCTTCTGGACCACTGTGTGGTGGGATGAGATATATCTCACGCACTGCACACTCATGTGTTCGGCCGAGGTTTCGCCAACTTTCCGAGTCGAAACTAACTGTCATCTAAATGTGACTTGCCACCCGATATTCCGCTGTTTGTTGTGGCAGTGGCAGTGGCAGAAGTCTACGCGCCTCGTGCCCAAGATCCATGGCGTCACGGACTGTTCTGCTAAACACTACTCCACCATCGACAACGTTACCATCTTGCTCGGAGACGACGGCGGAGATTACGTGACTGTGAGGTGCACGTCTCATCGAGTCATGAAGACAATATCCAAAGTAAGAAGGCGGAGGCATGCGGAAATGCGTTGATCCTCTCTTCCCACGGGAGGCATCCTTGAGACAGCTGAAATAAGGGTGATTAACTACACAGCTTAAACAACGAGACTTGAGCTGTATGACAGTGAATTTGGCGAATACGAAGTAATATTTCTTCATAATGCTACGAATCTTTTTAGCAGTTTCATTGCAAGACAGAAAGAAACACTTTCGTTATACGAAGAAAAACCATCTTCGCGTTATGCTTGCGCCATGTCGTCTAACACTCTCAGAGTCGTACTGATTTTTTTCTCAATAATGTATTGACGTTTGTGCGAATTAATAAGCGTATTCACATTTTTACTTGTTTTTCAAACATTATTGTCAATTTTATCTTGACAAATCTGTTCAGCTTCTTGATGAAACTCGATTGTTCCGTTCAAACGTCAATGAGTATTGATAAAATGTCGATTGAAGAATAAAATTCAATAACTATGGGAATTTTTTTTCACCAGACATTTATGGTGTAGAACATTTACCCTTTAACGTGGGTAATGAAACTTCCCTGACCTAAATTTGGGTCATAAGGTATACTCGAGGCTCTTTCAATCTCAGTTTGCACTCATCAGGCTTACCTTGAATCAATTTCAGTTCGCTTTGATTATCAACCGCTGCCAACCTGGTCCAGTAAGCGCTGGAAGCTGCGAGTACTACCGAACGCTCACGTGGACCACAGGCGTATGCAGTTTCATTGAAGCGAAAGGAGTGATATGGACAACCTTTGTCGAAAGTTTCAACCCACCAGCAAAATGCCCAATTGACCAGGTGATGTTGCAGCTTTTCGAGTGCTCTCCTATATGGAAGAAACGGTTCCTGGTTTTCCGAGGAAGCCCATGGTAAAAACATAGGTGATTTCCAGGGAGTTCCTAGGATGAAACCGTTTTTACAGTGTATTCAGCTAAAACTTTGAAAATTGAAGGCCTTATGCAGCGGTAGTTTTATGTCCCAAAACAACTGTGGAAGCCTCGCAATCTACATTCAAGCTGTCATTATTTCTATCATTTCCTTGAAATCGGCCGCAGTGGCTATTGCAGTGAAAAATTGATGAAAAGAGACATTTGTTGCAATATCATGAGACGCTCATATGCCGTATCTCATAACGGTGAGGGGGCAACCACTCCAGAAATTCTGGGTCCACTTGAGCGCCTGAAATGCCTGGAGGTTTTTTGTCCGAAAGGCAAAAAACAAGCAAACTTGGTCGCAAAATCGGTTGAAATCTTTCGAAATCTGATGAAATCGGTTTGATCAAGAGATCTTGAGTCCGCAGTGGTCGCACCCGCGCTCAACGGGATACCTCGATGGATATTTAGGTGCGGAGGGTGGGTTAGAGACGCTTTCTTTCAAAGAGAAGCCACATATATGTTTAAGCAAAATTTTCAAACACCTTTGATTATCGACGGGCATTTATGCATTTGTTGGCTGTTCCATAAACAGATGGCTCTTGTACAGGTTTCGCTGGAAATTTTGGGTTGTTCGTTGCAAAAAGAGCAGACTTTCGAAATTCCATTGTTTCATCCGAATCAGATAGAGCCCCTGTGCCCTTGTCAGCAGTTTCCAACAGCATGCGCTTCATACGCTATGGTTATGTGATACTGTACTCATGTTGAGTGCAATCCTTATGGCACCGGACATGTCGAGAGGTCCTATTTCAAAAATTATTACCTGACCGTTTCCGAGTATAAGATCTTATCAGGTCGTTTCCGGATAAATAATCCTGCCTGAATGCGAATTTCTCTGAGCTTGAACATTGAGGACGGATCACAGAGTAAACTGAGCATACTCCCACACAATCATCACACTGTTATTCGATGGATGACTGACATTCGCTACTATGTAAAAGGATCTTTTGAATAGGACCCAAATACCATCGGTTGCTATGTTCAATGAGCTAAGAGAAGAAGAAAGGATGGAGCAATTATAGCGGCTTCCCCACCCGCGCGCTGCTACCCCGCTCGGAGGATAACAAACCCACCCTTGATCTGAACACAACAAAGCAGGTGGGTAGGGAACCGACCATCTTTGCTTCTTCTTTTCTTCTTCACCTTCGTCAAACGGCTTATTTTTTGGTGACATAATCCTTTTTTTTTAAAACAGCCCCACTACGAAGTAGTCAACGGGACGATCAACATGAAGCGCCTCGACACTCTGACAAGAGGTCTCAACATAGAAAAGCACACGTGGAAGGTAGAAGTTCGTCTGTACAATGAACTGAGAGATTTGATTCTCTGCGCGATAGTGGTTGGGGAGCCTAGACGCATGTTTGTAAAAAAAGGAGTGGATTCACCGTGAGATCGACATTTTTGTCTTGAAAATAATTTTATGCCATTTCAGCACATCTTGAAGTCTTGAGCGGAAGTGATCATAGTCGGCAAGATGATTCCTTGTTTCATACACCATGAGTTACAATCAAACTTGTTTCAGTGAATTTCGCAGGAGAATAATACGAAGCCACAATTTAAAAAAAAATATATGAGAAATACAGAGAAAACCCTTTTGCAAAACGAAGAAAAACTGTGCGCTTGCGCTAGTGTCTCCCGGATTTAGAGTGTGGTCTGAAGCAATAAGAATGGTGACAAAAATGAATAAAGCTGCAAGATGCTGGGCCTTTATGCCGAATTTTGCTTCCAGTTCTAAATATTACATAAAACAATACAGGCATTTCCTCCAAAATAAGTTTCCCCCTGCCCAAATAACCAAACCGGATGGTCACAAAGAGGTGTCAATGAACCTCTGGTAAAGCAGCACCTCGAAAAGATCACAACGTGGAAAAATAGGTTTACTGAAAAACAGCCTGCTGCAGCGTACCAAACGACGATACGTCACCCATTGGTTTAACCAGTTTATCAGTAAGGACATCGCGACAAATTTTTAAAATGTGTGTCAGAAGCTTTTATCAGGAGTGAAAATTTTCGTCGTCTGGGCCTGAGACTCTGTTCTTTTAAATTGAGGACAGGCCAAAAAAATCCACTTTACGGCCTTTAAGACTTCTTTGCTTTTCTAGACATATTTGCTCCTAGACATATTTGTTCTTCTGGACTTATTTGTTCTTCTAGACTTATTTGTTTATCAACACTTATTTGTTCTTCAGGACTTATTTGTTCTTCTGGGTGATGCTGCCTATCACAAACCCAAAGCCGAGTTTCCGGAACTGTTTGGTCGGCCAACTATTGGTGCAACAGGCAGCGGTCCCCGGGGACCTGCCGAGTGATTCCGAAAATTGTTTCCGTCGCTCTGTCTCTCTCGCACCTGCGGGTGAACTAGTCGGAGAGAGAAAGAGAGAGGAAGAGAGAGAGAGAGAGAGAGAGAGAGAGAGAGAGAGAGAGAGAGAGAGAGAGAGAGAGAGCTATGGACACGCTGTTCCGAAGCAGCACGCTGACAGATTCCGAGTCTTTCTCGTCGCTCGACAGCAGTCGACAGTCTTTGTCTCGCACTCATGGGGCATGCCTTTCAGGCGCGAGAGAGACGGAGCGACGAAAACGACTCTCAGTCTGCCATGTTGATGCCATCGCTGCCGTGAGGCACGCGTGCCGCGCGACGCTGCAAGGGGCGGGAAGGCAGTGCACTCACTCAAACAAACTGCAATTAAAGCCATTCGCGATCGGGAAGTCGGTCAGAGTTCCGTGCCCCTTCCGCGCAGTTTGAAACCAATCGGGTAGGTGGTCTGAAGCGCCCTGCACTGAGACTGAGAATCCAAACGCTATGAGTATAGCGTCAATTGGTGCAATGCAAAAGCATTGCACATGAAGTCAATTTCTTATTGCGATGCATTAGCATAGGGATTTCGGGACCATTGACGTGGTGCAATATGCTATCGCATTCACTATGGTGCGATATCTCAGCTGCTTGACCATTACGTGTAACTCATACGTTTGGAATCTCGTGTGTCTACCGGGCTTGCGTCTGAGCCATGGGAGATAACTCTTCGAATGTGTACACCAAAATTTATCAAAAATTTGAATTGCTGAAATCATCATAATTTTATCGAAACTCCCATATTCAGAAGTTTAGCCCAATACCATCAATTCAACTGAAGTTTATTTAATTGTACACCGAAATTCAGTAGGATCAGACTGGAAATACCGCACATTCAGGTAGGCGTTCCGATCTCTCCAATTTTAAATGTTGTGATTCCCCAATTCACAGAGGCAAGGCTGGAAAATACCGATTTCGCTCCTAAACGCGCAAACGTTTTATATGAAAAAAATTAGGCTTTAGCATGAATGTTGCCCTTCGCAGGCTGAAACAATTGCCTAAAGGACTGAAAGACGTTTTAGAGGTACTTTTTTGGTCTCATTTGACCGGTTTAGGTCACTTCTGCCAATCGAACTTGTGCATTGCAAAAATATATGTGCGTCATTACAACCATAGTTATTTAGAACAGAGTTGAAAGATTAGTTCAAAAAAAAGATCATGATTTGGTAACCTTACCCTATGAGTATAGCGTCAATTGGTGCAATGCAAAAGCATTGCACGTGAAGTGCAATGCCTTCTTATTCCCATGCATTAGCATAGGGCATTTTCGGGACGCATTGCACGTAAGGTGCAATATGGCTATCGCATTGCACGTATGGTGCGATATCTCAGCTGCATTGCACCATACGTGCTATACTCATAGCGTTTGGAATCTCAGTGCGTCTACGGGCTTTGCTGATCTGAGCCATGGGAGATAACTCTGGTCGAATGTGTACACCAAAATTCATCAAAAATTTGAAATTTGCTGAAATTCATCATAATTTATCGAAATTCTTCCCAATATTCAGAAGTTTTAGCCCAATATTCATCAAAATTCAACTGAAGTTTATTTAATTTGTACACCGAAATTCAAAGTAAGGATCTGACATGGGAACATACCGCACATTCAGGTCACGGCGTTCCGATCTCTCCCAATTTTAAATGTTGTGAATTCACCGAATTCACAGAGGAAACAAAGGCATGGAAAATACGATTTCGCTCCTGGAACGGAAAAACGTTTTTATATGAAAGAGTGTAAATTGGGGTAGGACTTTGAGGCATGAATGTAATGCCCTTCGCAAGGCATGAAACAATTCGCGCCCGTAAAGGACGTGAAAGACTGTTTTTGCCCCAAGAGCGTAGTTTTTATGGCTCTCTTTACCGGTTTAGGTCACTTCTCCGCCAACCGAACTGTGTGCATTGCAAAAAATATATGCTGCGTGCATTTACGTAATGTCCATGTATATTATAAGTTAACAGAGTTGAAAGGATTGAGTTCAAAGAAAAAGATCAAGAATTTGTTTCCATGAGTAAACGCCTTTGAGGTAGGCAACCCATCGTGTCCCCCGCCAGCCTCAGCCCGACACGAAGGGTTGCCTACCTCTCAGGCGTTCAGCGCCCGTCCTCCAAGATAAGTCCAAACGGAACCATTATACTGTGCGGCCACCGGCAGCCTGCGCATGAATGGTTTTTTTTTCAGTGCCTGAGCTTATGACTTGAGTAGGCATAAGTTTACATTCGAAGCTACTAAGAAACTTGTACTTCTCTATTTAGGTGGGCAAGTACTTCGTCACCCTTGCTGTTTAAAGTCTCAGTCTCTCTCTCTCTCTCTCTCTCTCTCTCTCTCTCTCTCTCTCTCTCTCTCTTTTTGGCGTGTGAAACGATGGTTCCATGGGTTCCATGGCTGGAGCAACTGGGTAAGTGCTTAACAGCGATACCAAATTTTAATAGATTCGACTTCACTTCTTTTTTTTTAGCGAAGGAACCGCTGTAAACAATGCCCACTAGCAGAGGGAGTTCTTTTAATAGATGCATTGACGCATGGCATCGGCAGACAGCCTCTTGAGTTTGGGATACAGTAGTGTATGTACAGCGTAAAGCTGTCGACATGTCTTAGACACTTTTTTGGCTGACAGGGTCTGTCAGACACTTTGGGCTGACAGGGTCTGCTTCATGCAGTCAGAGCACCTTTGAGCTGACACGGGATGCTTCATGCTGTCACCCACTTTTAGCTGACAGGGTCTGCTTCGGTGTCGTTGGGCTGACTGAGTCTGCCTCACGCTGCAGACACTTCGAGCTGACAGGGTCTGCTTCAATACACAGGGAGACTGATGGCTGCCATGAGACTGATCAATCCCAACAAAACCCTTGGCGTGCCTCACCAGTTGGCCTTCACGACCGAGGTCAAGTTCTTGTGGATCACCAAGCGCCTTCTGCTCATGCTGCCCGTCACCTTCACGCCCGCAGGTGAGCGAATCAACGACAATTCACATCACACATGTTCGAAGAAATTTCCCAACGTACGAAGAAAATGGCGCGAGCATAGTTCGAAGGTGGTTTTCCTTCGTATTAGGAAGGTTTTTCTTTGCATGTTACAATCAAACTATGAAGGAATACTGCTTCGTATTATGCTCGCACCAAATTCACTGCAACATAGCTCAAATTTCATTATAAGATTCAGAGTGCGGTTTGTGTGAGTCAGTGTACTGTTCCTCATCTGTCCGCCCACTGATTCATCTTCATGTGACGTTGTTATCAAGGACTCCACACTTCAGAATTCAGTCACCCAGCAGCACTCTCAAGTGGTGACGCGAGACACGCACCAGCGTCACAGTGACGACGTCCCCGCAATAGTTCCATGCCCGACGTCACAGTTTATCGCACGTTATTTTCGTTCCCCTTTTTTTTTACCGAAGCACGCTCTAAATGTCGTCAGAAAAAATTATGTACTTTCGTACGAAAATATACAAGAAGAGTATATCTTTATCTACAGTGACTGATAAAGTAACATTTGGTTAGGCATGAGTTGTAAAATGCCAAATCTTGACCAGGAACAAGCAGTGCCATTTTTACTCCGTGTTCCAAAATTACACCAAAACTGACAATAAGCTACAATCTAATTAAGCCTTACGAAATGAAGTAGCTTCATATAACATCGTATTTTGAACATAGGTAAGCTTACAAAGAAAATAGTTCCTAATTTTCGAACTATTTCTTCGCATAACAAAGTACATAAGATTGTACTACGTATGCTCAAAATACTCCAAGGTTTTAAGCGAGAGACCCGACACTGCAAGAAAAAACAACAACAAACGTCCACAAATTTCTGGCAAATTTTTTATCTGGAGTTTATTGCACTTTCAAAGTACAACAATTTGTTATACAAAGTACAGTGGAACCGGCGTGACGAGTGCTGTGCAGTCCAGGTCTCGTTGTGGTTTGTACGATTCTCGTTTGTACTTTATACAAGCCCTAGTTGTACTTTTATTGTACAGTTTTTGTCGAGGGGGAAATCAATCTTAAAAACTGAGACCCGACTGCTCCCTATTACGTTCTATAACGCTATTACAGAAGGCTTATTACGCTCGAAAATATCCAGATTTAGGCTAAAATCGGACCCTATAGAGGGAAAATTTTAAAAAATTTGGCTATCACGCTATTACTATGACGCGTAGTACTAGGAATCGGTGACCCGACTATTGCGCGAGTGATTTCCCCCTCGGTTTTTGATGTACTATTCACACTTTTTCTTGCAGTGTCCTGGACTGTTCTCCCCAACTGAACACGTGGCTTGGTCCGGCAGGTGGCATGCGGTTTAGGTGGCGCTCCCGCCAAGTCCTGATCATGGTGTCGGGCTGGATGGTGACGTCCTCGTACATGGTGGTGGCGATGACGTCAGTGGCCAAGCGGCGCTTCGCCGAGCTGGCCGGCAACCGGCTGGACATGGTGGAGGTGGCGCCCCTGCTGGTGGTGATCGCCATGACGACCTTCGCCTTCGTCCTGCCCACCGCCGTGCTGCTCTCCACCAAGTCCTTCGGGCGACTGTCCTGCGCCTGGCAGCGCACCGAGGTTAGACGCACAGTGGGCCAGAAAACCGGTGGAGGCGGTCAAAATTCCAAACGCGTTTTGAGCTCCAGAGTAGCTAAATGGGACTCGAACCGTACGTGTGACCCCACCAATGGATTGCTCTCCGAACGAGGAATCTGTTTCAGGCGTTGTACCGAAGCCTCACAGGCCTCCATCTGCGGCTGGGTATCCAGGCGTTGGCACCCACCATCGTGGTGACAATGATATTCATGAGCTCCTTGGTGTTGTCCCTTGGCGACTCCATAGACATAGAAGCCTGGGAGCTGCCACCGTTGGCACATTTGGTCTTTAGGTAAGAACAAAAGGGGTTGATGTCTCTCTTTCCTTTGTCTGGGATGAGCTTTGTTTTATCCATTTATTATTTATTTTTTGTGTTTATTTATTATTTTGGGAGGAGGGAGGATATGAAGGCTGCGAAAGACCAAAGTCTCCACAACTTGGCAAACCGTCTGGAGCGCCAAACAATTGAAGAAAGTGGTTCTGGAATTCTCCCCACCTTGCCAAAATTAGGCATTATAAGCGGCCTGACCGACAAATATTGGCAAGATCATGATCCCTCTGATAGATAGTGATGACGCTTCCAGCCTGTGGTGCATGTGTCACGGATGGATCTGCTGCAACATCGCTGTCGCCTCCACCGTTCGGGGACTCGCCGTGCGATTGCGACAGGACTGTTGCCGTCTCGGGGTGCGGGGTGTGCGCCTGCATCGCCTTCTTTGGATGCAGAGCGTCAAAGTAGGTGGCCACCTCAATCAACGAACAGCGCGCCTAATATCACACGTTGGCCGAAACTAGGCATTGGGAAAACTTTACGGACTATGTTAGGCCTTACATTGAAAAGCAGCATGTTATAACAAAGTATTTCAAGCATACATAAGCTTACAGAGAAAATACTTTGTAATTTACTAACTATTTCTTCGCATAACATAGTGAATTAGTTTGTAATATGCATGCTCAAAATACTTCGTAAGGTTTAAAGCGTGAATGATTCATTCATAACAATGCTTGGACTGCATTTTGCAGCTCCTGCACATCACATGCGATTGCTACACCAACATCAATCTGGTGTACCTGTTCTACATTTTCGTTGCGAGCGTCGCCTTCGTATTCACGTACATCAAGGCGCTGTTCATAGACTCGGGTCACTCTGTGGGACGCTTGCTGGCGATAAGTGTCATAACCCTCACCTTTTTCGGCAATATCATGCTCATGTGTTACCCTCCTCAAATGGCTGTCGATGCGGTAAGTAACTACAGAGGAAAGCCCAAGATTTAAAAAAAAAGTTTTTAAGCGTTATTTGGACTTCATTTTTGGCTGAGCGATAGGAAGCCTGTTACTCCAGTGCGGTTGAAAAGTTTTGTCTGTCTGTCTGTGTGTCTGTCTGTCTTCGTTGTGACACTACTCCTCCTGAACGCTCGCCGATCTGCTGAGATTTTGCAGGGTTATTAGGTATGTTCTTGGCTCGGCACACGGAATTTCAACCATCCTAGCTCAAGTGGTTCAGTTTTTATAGCTGAAACACCTAAAAAACGCAAAAATCAGTTTTCTTTCGGTAGACCTCTCTTGCCTATGAAAGGAAGAGTATGGGAAAAGTTACAAGGGTATGATTGTACTTTGTAGTGCAGGCACTCTTCTAGAATAAAGTCTGGGGCAGCCCCACATGCAAAGTTCTGAAGTAATGATGATGGACAAGCATTGTCTGCCGGAAAGGAAACCTAGCACCGCAGGCCAGGTAGTACCAGCCGGTTGGAGAAAGCAACACAGGGAATGTTACACAAGAGCGGTCTTTGCGTAAACCTACCTTTTTATAAAACGTGGCCGTTGTAAAGCTAGTAAAAGTTTTCCTTATTTTTCAGCTTAAAGTTACAGCGAGAGAGCTGCTCCGACTCCCGATGTCACATCAAACAAGACCTTTTAGAGCTGAGGTAGGTAAAGTGGCTTTCTAGAAGTGTTCAACACACTGTGTGGTGGGGCCAGGACTAGTTCAGTTAGAGCCACCCACAGTCTTTGACTTCTTCTGAAAACTTATGTTGCGCTAGTGTAAACAAGAGAATGGCGAGAGAGGGAAATTTGGTTTTGCATTGACTTCTGTTGCAGGTGTTTTACTTCTTACACGACATAAGACTCGCCAAAGACAAGGTCACATATTATGGATTGATTGACATAAGCAGATCACGTTTTGTTACGGTACAGTTCAAGCTCTACACACATCAAAACCAGTATTAAGACCCGTTGGAAAGAAACCAGATGTTGACCCATGACGTTCTTTGCTCCTCGACGTTTTATATTAAAACATCGTTGAGCGCTTTGAACGTGCGATTTTTGCATGTATTGAGCTTAGGCGCAGTGATGCGAAATGATGGCCTGCTGGTTATCAATGCCCCTTTCTCATTGCTTTTTTTCAATTTATTCGCGACCTAAGGGCATTGGGTCTAGGGTATTATGTAATGCTGGAAAGGTCCTCGCAATATTTCTGCTTAGTATAGCTGAGTTTTCTTGTTTCAGATGTTTGCGACTGGGACAACGTACATAGTCGTTATGTCCCAGATGGCTCTTCTGTGATGTCAGCATAGCATGTCCAACGCAAGGGAACTTTTTCGTCCAACTTAGGACATTTTCCTTCCGGCAGAGAATAGCAAAATCTTGCGGTTGGCTAGATAGACTTTGCACATGGCGTCTCCATACTTCTGGCTCTGTGGCGCTGTGCTTAAAATAATCTAATCTCCCATAGTCGTAGATATTTTAACACAAAGAGAAGTGCTATCGTCAAAATTGAGGCCATAACTTTGGACACATATACTGAGGTAAATTTGGAGAAAGGCAATACACGTAGTAAAATATTTAAAATTATGTTTTTAAATAAAGATGAAGGAACGTAAGTAACTGGAAAGAATGAAGTTCTATTATGGCCGATCTCCGTGCACCCTCCATGCACAACTTCCTGTGGCGGAAAAGTGACCAAACCGTTTTGCGTTTGTTTGAATTCCATTTGCGGTCATTTAATTGCGATGCCAGAATGGATGAATCGCGACACCCAAACGAATTTGTACAGGGTCTCTCAAAATCATGCGAAATTGTGTACAAATTTGTGCGAAAATTGAAAGGAATTTAATGTACACACGATTCCCGGAGTGCGTAACCCACCCCTCGAGTTGTCTGCTACAGCCGAAATCCTACGCAAGCACTGGTAGCCAACGAATGTGATGTCATATTCGTTTGAATGTGAATTTTGTCACATTCGTTTGAATGTGAATTTTGTCACATTCATTTGAATGTTGATTCACGTTGAAACGAATGTAACACCCTACTTAAATGGCCGAGTCACGTTCAAACGAATGCACTCTAAATGTTGTACAGTGAAGATTCTCCACATTATGGTGAAAATGTTCCATATTATGGTGGTGCAGCTGACTTCGTAACATACCATTGAGAATTCACTGTACCCTACAGAGATTTTGGCGAATTTCGTTGGAGAAAATGTCCTCCATATTATGTTGGTGCAGCCTTTCACCGTAAGACATTTACTGTTACTGTGTGTGACATCATATTCAAACGAACGTGACAAAATTCACACTGCAACGAATATGACGTCACATTCGTTGGCTACCAGTGAGGTAACGGCACGAGTGGGTCGATTCTTTCTCTTTTTTCCGCTTCAGGGTGTCGCATCGATACGCAGCAGGCGATCGCACGCACGGCATACGTTCTTTTTTTCGAATCGACCACGCTAACGCTGCCATCGTTGTATCTTATCTGGGAGAGATAGGGCCGCATGGCAGTTTTCGCGAATGCCGGAACGTCTAGACAGCTGATCGTCCTGACAGTGCATCGGCACGCCTTCCTGGGGCGGGTACGTGCACCGAAGCGCGCGGGGTCCGTCTTTATGCGTGCTTCCGGCCAATCACAGTGCAGTGAGGTGAGGAGCAGCGACATCCACAGTGCGCCAGAAGACCAGCGGCCAAATTTCCGGACGCGTTTTGAGCTCCAGAGTCGCTAAACAGGACTCCAACCGAGCGTGTGACCCCATCAATGGAGAGCAATCCATTGGTGGGGTCACATGTTCAGCTCAAGTCCCATTTAGTGACTCTGGAGCTCAAAACGCGTCCGACATCCACAGTGTACAAGTGATCAAGTGCCTTTAAAGTGGACATTGAACGAATTTGGCCCTGACACAGGGAGAACATGGTCGGATCTGAGCGAACCCCAATGATTCGAACAAAAAATTTGTTCGTTCAGGGACGAACTAAAGTGCTCGACCACGAACTATTTGAAGAATTTAGCGCAAGTGTGTTCTTGGCCGAACAATTCCTCTGCAAGTTTACGTTGTGTGTCGCGCGACGTGCACAGAGGCGGCAAACGGGCGTAAAAAGCTTTCGTAGATATAAATGGCACTTGAAAAGCAGTGTATCTTTAATACAGTTATGCTCGGTTATGTAATTAAGGGGGCTCATACGTTTTGAAATGGTCAAAATATCGGTTTTCTGGTTACGATGCCTTGAGAAAAAGCACTCTTTTCCGCGTCTTTTAAGCCTAAGGAGAGGTCCGAATTCGTAAAACTCGCGCCACAGGAGCTCGCGCAGCATTGTTCTGCACTGTCCACCAACACGTATCCAGCGACCCCCGGGGGTGGAGGCGTGACCTTTGACCCCTGTTTTCTCAGCTCGCCTTTTTTTGACCTTGCTCGTAAGATAACTACTGACTCGCTTTGGTTTGAGGTCTGAAATTTTAACTGAGTGTTCGCAACATCAGTAAGCATAGAATTGACTACAATGACGAGGATTGGACAAGATTTAGTTGATGAAAAAAAATTTTCAATTAATAAATTTGATACATTTTAGTAAAAAAATGAAGATAATTTTTTTTCTCCCAAACTACTGAACTTAGAAACACAATTGTAGTCAATTCTATAGCGGGCATAGAAAGGAGTCTCCAGTAATTTTTTTTTTCAAATCGAACCAGAATTGCGGTCTGAATCTTACGAGAATGAAAATTTTAGACTTCATCATAAAATCTACAAAAATGGTCCAATCTCAAACTTTTTTTTTGAAATGTTTATTTTTCTATTTTTTACTAGGATTTTTACCCAGAAACTCAAAAAATTTTGTCCCAAAATATTTAACACTAAGAAAACCGAAGTCATGTTTAAAACGTATGAGCCCCCTTAATGTAAGGGACTGTTGGAGCCTTCACCGTTCGGCTTGGAACAACATTGTGTTCAGATCGGCCGGTTCGAGAAAATTTCTGATTTGTTGGGATCAGATCGGATTATTTTTGTTTAAATTTCTTGTTTGTGTTCGGGACGCATTAGCTTAACCAGTGTGCTCTCGGGCGAAAAGAGCGGCACACTTTAGTTCACCAGGGTACAGGTGCACTCACAGGTCCATTAGGGGGGATTAGGAAGGATCACCGGGGCTATAGTACAGTGGCACTACCCTAAAACGAACTCACGTGGTTGCTTGTTCACTCGAAAACAAATCACCACAGAATTTTGTGACATGGTTAAGCAGCCTTTTCCATAGTACCTGTTACAGAAATTTATACCGAATACAAATTTTTTCTTTGTAACTCGGTTACAGAATTTCGTAACGGTTCCAAATTTCTGAATACTTGTTATTCTTGCCCAACTAAGCAAACGAGCTCCTAAATATTTCAAAAATCATAGGACGGGCCAAAGTAGCCGATTATTATCGCCACTTTCCTCATGTTTCAAAACGTTCTTTGCAACCAGTGTTCTCAGTGCTCTCTTCAGTGTGTACTCACAGCGTGTACTCAGATGAGTACACACCTTCAGGTGCATAATGGACAGACGTGCCAAGGTGTGTACTCACCTGAGTACATTGTTAGAGGAGTGTGATTGTGAGTACACGCTGAACAGAGTGTTCTTGGTGCACTGTTGAGTTGCCAGAGTTTGTGTAGACATTTCCGTTCCATGCGCCCAGCAATCCGAGCTAGAAAGCGCATTTACTGCAACCGGCCAGTTTCTAAACATTGCCTTGGTGCTACAGATGACATTGACCGGCACAAAAAATAATCCATAGAGATTTGGAGTGCAATCTTAAGATTATCTTCTCAAGTTAGTGATAAAATTATGTAAGATGATGCATGTGCGCGTGTATTAAGACTGCGTTGGGGCATTTGAACCCTGAGAGCAGGCCAAGTAACTGTAAACACTGTTTACTTTGCAAAAAGTTTTCCGGAGTGCCCAGCCTACGCACAGTGGCCCACAAGGCCGGCGTAGGCGGCCAAAACTCAAGACGCGTTTTGAGCTCCAGTCACGAAACAGGACTCGAACCTAACCTAACCTAACCAATAGATTCTTCGTTCGAAGAGCAATCCATTGGTGGGGTCATTCGTTCGGTTTGAGTGCCGCTTAGCGACTCTGGAGCCGAAGACCCGTTCAGTATTTTGACCGCCTCCACCGGTGTTCTGGCCCACTGTGCTTGCGGGGAGATGGTCGTATCCGAGGGGTGAATCACAAGTGTACTCATGTGTACAAATTTGGCCGTACTCAGTGTACTCACAAGTTTAAAAGGGCGAAAGTTTTTGGACCGATTTGGCGTTGAGTGCTGTTTAAAACGCTAAATAAAGCCTTAAAATGTGTTTAAATGTGAAATTTATGAGTAAATGCAAGGTGTACTCACCCGTACTCATGTACTCATGTGTACACCAGAACGCAGAGTGATTCACCCCTCGGTCGTATCGCACCCCGAGCCACGTCACAGCCGGTCACACCGGCCGGCGTGTTGTGGTGGTGGTGACTCAGTCGGGGCTGGGCGGCCGTAGGCGGCGGTCCCAGCCGAGAGTCCTGTGGACGGCCGGTCGGGCCGGTCGGCTCGCCTAGGCGCGCTGCCCCAGGCTGGCCGCGCCACGCGTCATAGCCTTATCGATCGCGGCCCGCTGACCTTGGACACGGCCGAGGACTCGCACTCGGCACGCCGCTGTAAGTGATGTGCCCAGCGGACTGACCTCCGCACTCAAGTTGCTCGTCCAGGGCTAGCGGTACTCTTCGTACCCCTGTGCCGGTGGAGGCAGTAAGTGACCGCATGGCTTAAGGCACGAGGAAACAACCCTAGCCAAATTTGTACACCACAATTCAGCAAAATTTGAAATTCACTGACACTTATTATTAAAATTCATCGAAATTCGACTGCAATTCGTTTGATTTGTGCACCTTAATTGACAGTGATTTCCCCTTGGCTCAAGGCACAGTTGGTTTGCTCGCACTCATACAAGCACGTGTGGAGGAGTCACAACATAGAAATGTTGCTGTTTAGGTTCAACTCTGTGAAAACAGTTTCACTGCTGGATTTTGTTTGAGACCGAAACGGTGACTTGATCCCCAAGAAGGACCCTTGACGTCCTCGTTTCCTGGGGAGAGAGTTACTCAAGAGTGGTTCTATAGTTGGTTGCCCGCCAGAACTTTCAAATTTTTTATTTCATGTCACCGTCACCAAATCGGCAGATATTTGCACGCTTATGTAAAGTGACACTGTGAATGCATCAAGGCCTGTGATGCGGCTAGATTACTCGGATTCAACAACTGGTGCGCGCAGGCAAAGTCCAGTGGCGCCCTTTCGAGCTGTGTACAGTGTACGTACGCAACAAGCACCTGATTGTCAGAGCTGGGGAATGACACCTGACACCTGTAGCTTCACGGTTCCCCCATTTCAGCTAGTTGTGCTGCCGGGTCCTGCTCGATCTAAGCCACTCTGAATTTAGTCGCATGCTTTTACAAGTGCACTTGCACCCTGAACCGCACAGTTTATCACTGTACGAAGGAAACCTTTTCAGGGGAGCTTTCGTCTCCCATTTGGCTTCAACTTTGCAACCACGAAAAATGTTCTACTTTAAGGGGAGGTTCTGGTGAAAAAGCTATTTTCTCCTAAATAGGTCCCACTGTGAAAATTTGTTAAAAATTTGATGTCTTATCAAGTATTTATTAAAACTATTCATTGGGGAGGCACATTCTATGCCCTGAACCCAGTCGCAGAGCCATTTTCTCCCATTTAGGCTATAACTTGAAAAACCTTCTTGCGCATACTATTTTGTCGTAAAAGGTTGGCTTAGACATTTTTCACTTCTTCGATTCATTTTTTAAAAATGCCGGCATGCACACCTCAAAATGTCAATTGCATTTTTATTCGCAAGCTTTCTAACCAAGCATTTCACTATAATTGATCAAAAATGTACCAAATAGACAAATTTTAGGGACTTTTTAGCTTAAAAAGTTAATAATTAATGATATAATGGAAGTTTTGAGCTATACATGCCGGAATCTTTTGAAAATGAATCGAAGAAGTGAAAAATGTCAAGGTCAACCTTTTACGACAAAATAGTATGCGCAAGGAGATTTTTTAAGATACAGCCAAAATAGGCTCAAAAAGACTCTTCGACTGGGTTTACAGCCTGGCATGTGCCTTCAAAAGTCAAATTTTAGTCTCCTCAATGAAAAATTTTATCTTCCAAACAAATTATGACTGTGGGATCCATTTGGAAAATGGCAAGATTTTCACCAGAACCTCCCCTTAAAGAACTTCCACATTACCTGCAGGATCGCGCTAACGGCTCAGTTTTGAACTTTTAATATTCGGCGTCTTCCTTACACCAACTTACTGTAGCGGCTTAGTATAAGTGCAAGATGTGGGACAACGGACAAAATTTTTAGCCTCAAGGTTGAACTTACAGCTTTCAAACTTGGACGCTGACTACTTGGAAAAATCTCTGCACGTGACCCAACAATTACTCCAAAATACGCAATGACAATTACGCAATTAAAAAAAAGAAGCGAAATTCTCACAGAACTGGTGGGACATTCATCAGGGCCAGAAATATCCCGTTCAAGAACCATAAACTCCCACGGACTTTCTCATTGATTTCTCAATCAGGATGAAAGCCTTGACGCTGACGGGCCTCCTTTTGAACACACTATCTATAATGATTATGCTGAGTGTGCCTTGTACCCCTTCTTAGCAAATGAAGCACAAGTTATTTAAATTTTTTTCAAAGCCTTCGTTTGTTTTCTTTGCATTCAGAGCAATTCTACATAGAATTTCAGTTGTGTGCTGAAGGCAGCCGCCTTGGCGATATACGTTGGGTTGAATGCCAACCGACATTCGCAATTATTGAATATTTACAACACTTAATTCTCTCTTTTGCAGGTGCAGTAATAAAAATGGGGATCATACTGAAGCTGAGACTACTTCTTTGGAAGAACCTTATCGTTAGAAGACGGAACAAGGTAAGATCAAAGCCATTTTCACTCTCCACCCGAAACCAAAAAATGGCAAATCAAAGATATGCAGAACTGAAACAGACAATCTATTAAGATCTTTATATTAAAAAAATTAAACTAGAAACCAATTTGGCTGTAAATCAAATCCACAACTTTTCTTTCAGATCCGGTTTATATTGGAAGCTGTGTATCCCCTTTTTCTTTTCGTGGTACTTGTCATCCAGAATCCACAAGGAACCCCACATTACTACAATGAATGTAAGTTACCCGTTCAACGATTATGGTTTCACGTGGAAACGTAACTCAACCCAGACCACTGGTGGAGTAGCTCACAGAGCCCCACCTGTTGGCGTGCGAACGTGAAGCACTTCACATTTGAAGTGTAGAGACTGAAAATTCCCTACGCCACAGCATTTTATGTGTGGAGTTCTCTCGGGAGTTCTCCACGTGTGAATGCTAGCAAAATTACCTCAGGGAGGACATAGTCTATATTGGAAGATTTTTTTGTCCCCGCAGGCCACTTTTTGGGGAAAGCTCTGCCCTCTGCCGGGCAAGTTCCGTTTTTGCACTCCCTCGTTAGCGGAGCCGTTTCAAACAACTACTGCCTCGCCAAGAACGGCAGTGTTCAGCCTGAATTCAACACACCATCTGGGTAAGTTGACGAATCCTGTGTGCAAAGGGTGAATGATATTGAGATATGAAGTCAAACAATCTCCAGAAAGTGACGAATTCTCTCATTTCACAGTGTAACGAAACACCGAAAAATGCGAAAAAATTATTTAATGATTTCAATCGATAAAATTTAAAACAAAAACATAAAAGAAGGTCATTGGTGACTGTTTGCGTACCCCAGGTGCCCACCAACAGCAAAAAACTACCAAAAAGTGAAAAAAACGTCGAAATTTTGACGAAACGTGGTGATTAAAAAAACAAAACAAAAAAAGGAGCAGCCAAATTTTTTACAGAACATAGATAGATGCCCAAGTAAGGTCCCTGCCAAGTATGGGTCCGATCGGAGGTGGGGTCACAGAGATATCGGCATAAATGTGCGAAAAACACTGCAAAAATCGACCAAAACTACTAAAAAATGGCCACTGGACCCTGGCTAGGTGTAGCGAGCACCCAGTTTCAGCAAAGCTTCATAGTTTTATGTTAAAAGATTGTCATCTGACGATGTGGGGCTCATATGGAGTGGGGTCACTGAGAAATGGCTGAAAAATTGCAGAATTAAAAGGCAAAACAGGCCTTAGAAGGCCACCAAAACCAAGTTGGGTGTAACGAGCACCTAATTTCCACATGACTTGATGGTTTTGGGTAGAAGGATGATTACCTGATGATATGGAGTCCATATGAACTGGGGTCATTAAGTAATCGATGAAAACTTTCAAAAAAGTGGTCAAAAACTTTTGCAGGAGACCACTACACTGAAGTTGGGTGTAACGAGCACCTAGTTTCTACATGACTTGATGGTTCTGGGTACAAAGATGAAAATCTAATGATATGGAGTCCATATGGACTGGGGTCATTGAGTAATCGACGAAAACTTGCTAAAAAGTGGTCAAAAACTTTTGAAGGAGACTACTACACTGAAGTTGGGTGTAACGAGCACCTTGTTTCTACATGACTTGATGGTTCTGGGTACGATAGTGGTGTAAGATAGTGGTATGGTTGTTAAATCCTTTTTACTTATAGCTATCAATTTGAAAAACAATTAAATTTGCTTGAAAACTCAAATCCAGTGAACACTCGCTTAATATTATACAACTTATTCAGATAATCTGTTAGTTCTTTACAACTTTCAATTAATGAAGAAACTAAGTGCTTGTTACACCCAACTTAAATGTTGTGGTCTTCTGCGACAGTTCTCAATGACCCCAGTCCATATGGACTCCATATCATCAGATAATCATCTTCGTACCCAGAACCATCAAGTCATATAGAAACTAGGTGCTCGTTACACCCAACCTCAGTGTAGTGGTCTCCTGCAAACGTTTTTGACAACTTTTTTGCAAGTTTTCATCGATTTCTCAATGACCCCAGTCCATATGGACTCCATATCATCAGATCATCATCTTCGTACCTAGAACCATCAAGTCATGTAGTAACTAGGTGTTCGTAACACCCAACTTCAGTGTAGTAGTCTCCTGCAAAAGTTTTTGACAGCTTTTTTTGCAAGTTTTCATCGATTACTCAATGACCCCAGTCCATATGGACTCCATATCATCAGGTAATCATCCTTCTACCCAAAACCATCAAGTCATGTGGAAATTAGGTGCTCGTTACACCCAACTTGGTTTTGGTGGCCTTCTAAGGCCTGTTTTGCCTTTTAATTCTGCAATTTTTCAGCCATTTCTCAGTGACCCCACTCCATATGAGCCCCACATCGTCAGATGACAATCTTTTAACATAAAACTATGAAGCTTTGCTGAAACTGGGTGCTCGCTACACCTAGCCAGGGTCCAGTGGCCATTTTTTAGTAGTTTTGGTCGATTTTTGCAGTGTTTTTCGCACATTTATGCCGATATCTCTGTGACCCCACCTCCGATCGGACCCATACTTGGCAGGGACCTTACTTGGGCATCTATCTATGTTCTGTAAAAAATTTGGCTGCTCCTTTTTTTGTTTTGTTTTTTTAATCACCACGTTTCGTCAAAATTTCGACGTTTTTTTCACTTTTTGGTAGTTTTTTGCTGTTGGTGGGCACCTGGGGTACGCAAACAGTCACCAATGACCTTCTTTTATGTTTTTGTTTTAAATTTTATCGATTGAAATCATTAAATAATTTTTTCGCATTTTTCGGTGTTTCGTTACACTGTGCATTTATGTCTACCATCACCATCTTGCTTCACTAATTTGTGTTCAACACACTACCATTACCGACCATTACCATCTTGCTTCACTAATTTGTGCAACACACTACCATTACCGACCATTACCATCTTGCTTCACTAATTTATGTTCAATACACTACTTTGCTCACTATCTTGCTATTGCTGTATTAACTATTCAACAAAGTTCGATTCACTATTCAACTCATTCATGTTGCTCCCCATTCTTTTTCTCTCCAGATTGAAACTTCACTCGTCTAACGGCAGATCACCAAGGTAATTACACCATTTCCACATATCGGGGACGTCCTGGACTTTTGATTCCTGTAATTTTACCCCGTCTTCCTGGGCTGCAGTCCGTTGTGAACACGTGGTTCGGTTGAAAACTGCCTTTTTGACAGTGTCCCTGGCACATCCCGGAAAAATAATCTTTCCACGGCGAGCCTGGAAAACGTGTGTCCAGTTTTTAACCGTGCAAGTCCCCAAATTGCTGAAAGGCTCTCAATATAGTTCTGAACCCCGTTGAGATTTTACTTTCTCCGTTTCAGGGCTGTTGAACGGGGACGGGGATTGGCCGATTGGATGCGAGTGTCGTCATCGGACCCAGCGACCTGCTCTGATGTCGTACGCATTATGTTGACGGTGTCAGGATCAATGACGAACATGTGGAGTGTTGTCAAACCTTTCATAACGTGAGTATCAACTTCAGACTCTGCTTTGCGAGGCTGTCAGACCCATAACTCGTTTCTCTCATACTCTGCAATTAACTGCACCGCGTTTCCTTGTAATACAAAAGAATGCTTCGTAAAAGTGAAGTCGTTCTTAGTACAAGCTTTTCTGCATGAAGAAAATGAACCATTGAAGGCATGAGTGATCGGACCTTAATTTTACAGAGGCAAGATACTGTACTATCCGGACACAGTCGCGACGAGTAAAATTATGCAAGAAGTCAATGACACATTCAACAAGATTACAACGTTCCCGCCACTGTTTCCGGTCCAGGTGCGTCAAGTTGCCGATCGCCAATTTTCCTGAATAGTGCGAAATAGGTTGACTGTTTCCCTCATTTATGATCTCATTTTTCAGACCTTCCTCGAGATGCCGGATGGAATAGAAACCCTAGAACGGTTGACTGAATTATTTGGAGACCCGGCCGACGTGAAGTAAGTCCTACCATTTTTTTTTTTTTTTTTTGCTTAACTTGCAGTCTTACATTGAAATTTGAGCTATGTTGCAGTGAATTCGGCGCAAACACAATACGAAGTAATGTTCCTTCGTAACAAAGTATTTTAATCGTCAGATTCAAACAAAGACCTTAATACGAAGAAAAACTACTTTCGTTTTGTGATTGCGTCATTTTCTTCGTAATATTGGGAAATTTCTTCCTATGACATGTCGAATGTATCCAAAAATCCATCCATTAATCTATTCGTTCTTTATAAGGTCCATCCGAAATCTGTCTGGCCAAAAATTCGACGCATCAGCACTTCCAAAGTCTTTGACCGATGCCTACGAAGAGTTCCGGGAAGCGTTTGAGAAGGTGCGCGTTATCAGGAGGCATTCGTTGCTCAGTAAATCTTATTCAAAGCATTCTCTTCGTATGGTAAAGAAAACGATCACGTCGAAAACGTTCCCCAGTTTTCCGAGTTTATCCACGGCTAAGACATAGGCGATTTCCAAGGACTTTCCTTGGAAAAACCAGGAACCGTCTTTGCCGGAATTGTGAAGTCTGCGAAGAATTACTTTGAATTTTAGAAGAAAGTCTTTCGTTTCATTTGCTTTGAGTGTTTGTAACTCTTCAAAATCCGTTGCACAGTGCGTCAACCGTCAGAAAGTGGAAGCAGTCCCCGCAGAATCGGCTTTGACGGAGTCGTGGAAGCTCATGAATTCCAGCAACCTGTGGGCACTTGTCTCCTTCGAAGACGTCGGCGATGAGCTCAAGCCCTTTGTGCACTACAAAATCAGGCAAGTCCAATTTCCTATTTCACAGTGGGCCAGAAGGCCGCGTTAGAAGCGTGTGACCCCCAGTAATGGATTCTGCGAAGAGCAGTCCATTGGCAGGGTCACTCGTGCGATTCGCGTCCCACTTAGCGACTCTGGAGCTCAAAACCTGTGCGGGATTTGGATCGGCCACTGTCACTAGGTGAGTTAATACTCCGCTCTACAGGGTTGATGAGAACACCTTGCCACCGACTAAGGAGATCAAGAGGCCCCTCAAAAAGACAAAACGTCTAACGCCACTTCAAAACCTACGATATATTGTCTTCGGCTTTGCATACTTGCAGGTTAGCCTACATGTTGTATTGCTTGACCAATGGCTATGATTACTTCATCTTCTGATGTTGACACCACGCACATGGGTTCCAGGATATGATAGACAGTGCCATCTTGAAAATCCACACCGGAAGGACCGAGGCGACTCAACCTGGCAGGATTCTCCAGCAGTTCCCATCCGCAGCGTTCAAGACCGACGAGTACGTACAAAATTTGCTCTGATGAAACAACATGGCCAACAAATTGTGTAAGACTACACACGGTGCAAACGTTCCCTGAACTGGTTGAAAAAGGCATAAAACCTTCGCCCTTCAGGGCTTGAACAGTCTTTTCATGCCCTTCAAGGGCGTAGGGCTTTTTGGTGAAATTTCAATGCCCTTTCGAAGGCTTTCACGCCTTTCCAGGCACTGAAAAACCAAACGTGGTCTAGACCGCACCAACTGGTGTGGTCAAATGGGTGCCGTATTGACCACATCACCACGCACCAAACGTGGCCAAACGTGGTCTAGACCACACCAACTGATGTGGTCAAAATGGCACCTACCTGACCACACCAGTGGTGAGGTCTGGACCACGTTTGGTTTTTCAGTGGGGGCGTAAATCGTTTACGTTCTTTAAGGGGCACAGACCTTACAAAGAATAGCAGCTTGTTATAACAAATTATTTTTAGTGTAAATGGGCTTACAAATGAAATACTTCGTAATTTACGAACTATTTCTTCGTATAATAAAGTAAATTCTTTTGTAATGTATGCTCTAAATACTTCGTAAGGTTTTAAGCGTGCGCTTGATGATTCCAATTCCTTCCCACAGCCTTGCCGACCTGCTGACGCAAGTGCTGCCGCTGATGATGGCGCTGGCGTGGATCTACACCTTCTCGCAGACGGTCAAGGGCATCGTGGTGGAGAAGGAGGAGCGCGTCAAGGAGGTGCTGGCCGTGATGGGCATCAGCCGCGGCGTGCAGAGCGCCGGCTGGGTGGTGGAGGGCATCTGCAGCACCTTCCTCACCTGCATCGTGCTCAGCGTGCTCCTCAAGGTGAGAAAAACATGGCAAAACACACCCAAAACAAACAAAAATTTACTTCTTGGATCGAAAAAATATAACTTTTCTTGGTTTTTAGAGAAAAAAATTCCTGATCCAAACTTTTTTTTCGCTTGAGAAAAGTTTTCTTAGGTCAAGATTTTTTTCTTAAAAACCAAGGAACCATTGGTCTGAGTGCGCTGAGGATCCCAACGTTAAGACTGAAGCGTCAGGAACTAACCGTCTCACAGTGGACCAGTGGAGGCGGCCAAAAGTCTAAACGCGTTTGAATGTCCAGAGTCGCATAACAGGACTCGAACAGAACGTGTGACCCCACCAATAGATTCCTCGTGCGGAGAGCTATCCATTGGTGGGGTCACACGTTCGGTTCGAGTCCCATTTAGCGACTCTGGAGCTCAAAGCGCACACTGAGCTTTTAACTGAGCCCCTTTTGGTTCTACTTTTCAGTTCGGCGGGCTGATGACGCACAGCGACATCTCGGTGCTGTTCGTCCTGCTCTTCTCGTTCGTCGTGTCCATGCTGTCGCTGGCGCTGTTCGTGTCCACCTTCTTCTCCAGGCCGACGTTGGCCGGCCCGTGCTCGGAGAAGATATTGAATGGAACAGTCGACATCTACTGTGGCCTGCAGCGTAACTCTTACGCTTTGATCAGTCCTATAAGGATTCGATGACAAATGTGACCGTCGAAGATTCTCGATCGAATTTCAATGATCGGCAATCGTCAGTGGATTTAAGATTTGCTAAAATCAAGATTTCTTGAATCTTGACCAGTTCTTGGATTGTTTTCCCTCACACGGCAAAATCCGGATTGCTGTTTATCGAGAGCCTGAAGCATTGTAATCTCAGGAGTTCCTGGCGGTAATAGGGAACTTTCCTAACGTACGAGCAATTCTAAATCCTTCATCGATGAAGCACAAGTTCGTGGGCTAGCCTAAGAGCTTTTAATAGAGGAATTCTTCATTTATCAAGAAATCGCCAGTTGGCGTTTACAATCCTGAGTGATCCATGAATACTGTCAGGGAAAATTCTGCAGTTTCGAGTTTCAATGAAATTACAATAGATCTCTTATGAATTCGTAAAGAAGATTTGAACTAAAATTAAGTTATCATATTCTTCGATAAGTACAAAGTTCTTTGGAGTTGTTTTCCCTCACAGTAAAAATTCTACGAAGAAGGCCTTGTCTTTTCAATAACGACAGAAAATGTATTAGCATGAGACGAATCTACGAAAACGTCATTTAGTAGAATTCGCTGCGTGAATACGAAGCGTATTCTTCATAATACGTAGCAATTTTACAATGCCTTCATTTTGGTCTTAGTTTTGAAAAATGCTTCGTAGGCTAGCCTTTAAGAGCCTTTAAAAGCGCTTTTAAGAGTGCTTACTGACAACTTGTCTGGCAGTGCCTGGCCTCCACCGTGGCGCTGGCGGAAGCCACCCAGATCATCTCCAGCCAGGAGATGCGCGGCGACGGCGCCCAGTGGAGCAACATCTTCCTGAACGCGGGCGTGGGGGAGCCCGTCACCCTGGCGGCCTGCATCGGCATGATGTGGCTGGACGCCTGCATCTACGCCCTGCTGGCGTGGTACACTGAGAACGTCTTCCCCGGTCAGTATCGGTACACTGTGGAAATTTTTGTTGTCACTTGATGACATTACTGTGATAATTCTGAGTACTCACGTTGAATGACCACAAAATTTCAAGGTTGACATTTTCCGCCTTAATAGACAATGTTCATTCAAAAGCGAATTGATGACACTTGCTTTCGACGACCATTTTGCAGTTCGTGAGAGATTGTCACATTCTGAATAATGATGAAAATGGTGTCTTATCCATCGTTTTTTTAAACAAGTACAAAAATTTTGCAGTGCCAATGTTCACGGCTATACTGGTGGTTTTCACGTCTAGTTGTCATATTAACAGTGAAATTTGATCCGAAGCCTACTTCTTTTTCTAGTGAAAATTTCACTGATTTGGCAGGCTGAAGTGCGAGGAAAACTGTTACTCTTCGGGAATTACTCAAAAGAACTTACTCCACTCGTTAGACGTTACTTGTTTGGGTCAAGCCGCGAAAAGAGGACAATGTTACTGGCGCATTACCTTCGAATTTTTAGTTGTACTTGTTGTAAGCCCGAAACAGAGGTCAAGAATTTATGGTCTTACAGAATGCCGTGACATCAAGGTGTCTCCATGGGCCGCTAATATGAAGTTATGTCTCACCGGTCACCTATCAAAATCTGAGTTCCAGAATCCTAATATTGATGCGAATGGACCTGACTTCTTCTTTCTGTCCACAGAGGAGGCTGCAAATTTCGAACCCGAACCGCAAGGCTCAGTTGTAGGGGTTGCCATCGAAAACTTGTCTAAAGTCTTCGGGAAGCAAAAACCTGCCGTGAACGGTTTGACTCTCAACTTCCATCAGGACCAGATCAACTGCTTCCTCGGGCACAACGGTGCTGGAAAGACGACCACCATGTAAGCTATCACCACAATGCCACAATTTTCCATAGTTTTTTTAATGCTTTTAAATCCTTTTGTTAGTAAAGCCCAAAATAGTTCGTAAGGTTTTCGTGGTGTGGATGTACGAAGTAAGAGTTCTCGCTTCCGTTTTGCAGCTCCATGCTGACAGGGATGTACCCTCCCACTGCGGGCACCGCCCGTCTCTTTGGCCGCGACATTCGCACAGAGATGGACGACATCCGGACCAGCATGGGTGTCTGTCCGCAGCACAACGTCCTCTTCAGCACGTAAGTGACGAGGGGTGCCTCCATTTATTACTTAACGTTTTCTCACGGCTCTGTCCTTTTTGCTTCTCATGGACTGCCAGTGAGTTCGAGAGAGTCATAAGACGTTACGTAATTTGTGAATGAAAAAGCACCCATGCTAAACTCGCTCTGAAGTCACTTCCTCTGACGGATGCAGCGCTACACTGAAAAAAGATTGTCACTTCAGGACAAAATAGGGCATGAAATTTCCATGACTTAAATTTGAATTGAAGTTTATTGATCTTTTCCGCAGTCTGACGGTGGAAGAACACCTCCTCTTCTTTGGCCGGATCAAAGGAATCTCGGAGGAGGTTCTGAAACAGGAAATCGACTACATGCTCAAAGAAATGGGTCTCGAGGTTCGTATGATCGTGACACTCCGTCCGTTTACAATCGCACGACCATTTCAGTCTCGCAATAGGGTACTTCGGAGGAGAGCTAGAACGGAAGTTGAGAAGAAATCTAAAAACACAAAGGCCGGCCTTGTATTAGAATAACTCTGCCGAAGCGGCAGAACGGCGACTCAGACCCATGCACTGTAAGAAAAAGTGTGAAAAGTACAACAAAAGTACAACCAAAAACAGGCATTGTATGAAGTACAACGAGAAATGTACAAACCACAACGAGGCCTGGATTGCACATCACTCGTCATGCTGGTTCTATTGTACTTTGTACAACAATTGTTGTACTTCGAAAGTACAATAAATTCCTAATAAAAAATTTGCCAGAAATTTGTGTACTTTTGTTGTGGTTTTTTTCTAGCAGTATGCATTCTTACAGATATCGCCTACTTTGTTCTTCTTGGTTTCTTCTCAATTTCCGTTCTAGCTCTTCTCCGAAGCACCCTGTTCGGTTTGGAGAGTAACTTTCACAGCAGTTCCTTGGTGCTTGACTTATTAGAAACTTTTCTCTCTCTGCAGGACAAACGTAAGGCGAGGTCCAACACGCTGTCTGGCGGCATGAAGCGCAAGCTCTCGGTCGGTATGGCGTTCGTCGGCGGCAGCAAGGTGGTGTTCCTGGACGAACCCACGGCCGGCGTCGACCCGTTTTCCCGCCGTGGCATCTGGGAACTGCTCTTGAAGTTCCGGAAAGGTAAGTGCAGCACAGTGGGCCAGAAGACCGGCGGAGCCGGCCGAAACTCTAGACGTGTTTTGAGCTCCAGAGTCGCTAAACAGGGCTCGAACCGAACGTGTGACCCCACCAATGGATTCCTCGTTCGGAGAGCAATCAATTGGTGGGGTCACACGTTCGATTCGAGTGCAGTGATTCAATGTGTTTGCAGGTCGCACCATCATCCTCACGACGCACTTCATGGACGAGGCGGACCTGCTGGGGGACCGCATCGCCATCATGAGCGAGGGTCGCTTGCAGTGCTGCGGGTCGAGTGTGTTCCTGAAGGAGCGGCTGGGCACGGGCTACCACTTGACGGTGGAGTGGAAGGAGAACGACGACCAGACGGTTGATAACTGTGAGTACTCGACGGGAGATATTCATCACACTCTAAATGTTGTACAGAGAAGATTAGCCATATTATGGAGAAAATGTTCCATATTATGGTGGTGCAGCTGACTTCATTACATACCATTGAGAATTCACTGTACCTCATAGATATTTTGATGAATTTCGTTGGTATAAGGGAGACAATCTCCACCATAATATTTAGGTGCAGCCTTTCACCGTAAGACATTTACAGTGCAGGCCTACTCGGAAAGGGAGGAGTCTCGCATCTTTTAGTTTCATGCTCATTTAATCACTAAATGCGTCGTAGAAGTATCAATTCTTGACAGAGGACATTTTATTTAGTAAAATCACGATTCCTTTGAGTAAAAAAGATAATTCTGAGACTTCCTGCAGTTTCCGGTCTTGTTTTTGTACGTCCTCTTTCAGGTTGATTCTTTTGAGACTTAGTATAGAGTCATCCATGTACACCGTTTGCTCAGTGGGCCAGAAGACCAGTGGAGGTGGCCAAAATCCCGTTCGTGTTTTGAGCTCCGGAGTCGCTGAACAGGACTCGAACCGAACGTGCGACCCCATCAGTGGATTGCTCTCCGAACGGGGAATCCATTGGTGGGGCCACACGTTCGGTTTGAGTCCCATGTAGCGACTCAGGGACTCATGAAGCGTCTAGAGTGTTGGCCGCTGCGCCGGTCTTCTGGCGCACTGTGCGACTCATCGGAAGCATTTTCGGAATCTCGGAGGTGTCGCTAACGACTGCCGCCTGCCACAGGGAAGGCGTTACTGACGCAAGAGGTGCTGCTGAAGGTGCCCGCCGCCCGCCGGGTGTGCTCCGACGGCCCGGAGGAGAGCCAGGCCGTGTTCGTGCTGCCGGACCGCCACGACGTGGACGCCATCACGGCCTTGCTGGAGGAGCTGGAGAAGAAGCGGCACGCGCTCAACGTGGCGTCCTACGGCGTCTCGGACACGTCGCTCGAGGAGGTACGCAGTGGGCCAGAAGACCGGTGGAGGCGGTCGAAATCCCACACACTAAATGTTTAGGTAGAATTTTGTACGTGCAACTTGCACGATTTTGTGCATACGTGGAAAATGCATAATATCATGCGTAAAGATGCATGAATTTATGCAAATTCACGCATAATTTTATGCACGACGGCACACAAGTTTAAAATTATGCATCACCACGTACAAAATTGTACGTTAACATTAGTGTGCAGACGCGTTTCAAGCTCCAGAGTCGCTAATGGGACTTGAGCGAAACGTGTGACCCCGCCAATGGATTGCCCTCCGAACGAGGAATCCTTTAGTGGGGCCACACGTTCGGTTTGTGTCGTTTTCTTTTTCAGATCTGCATTTGATTTTGTGAAAATCTAACTCTAAGATACCACTCCTGCCGGCATAGTGTGGTAGGATAACTGGCATATACTGTAGATACTTCATCATCAATGTTTCCTGGCTTTGCAGATCTTCCTGAGAGTGGCGGAAAACAAGGCCAACGCAGAGACTCCAGCGAGCAGTGAGTTTTGCCCTGTTCATTCCGAGTTCCCACTACTTATCCTTTTCGTCGAGAAGTCGTTTTCTTCTGCTTTTGATTTTTAACCCTTTCATACAGTATTCACGGCAAATGCGGTTCCTGGTTTTCCGAGGTACACACTAAATGTTTTTGCACAAATTTTGTACGAGACATCACAGTTTTTTGAGCGCACGAACTTTTTCGTAAATGGCGATAAATGTGCAGTTTTTCGTACGAAAATTTTACGAAAATTTCGTGTGTACTAAAAACCGTCATGTCTTGTACAGCATTTTGTTCATAACATTAAGTGTGTAGCCCACCCGTGAAAGCATAGGCAATTTCCAGGGAGGTCCTGGGAAAACCAGGAAGCCATTTTGCGGTGTACTGCACACTTGCAGCGCACTAACGAGAAGTTTGCAGGTGACGTGGTGACACTGGAAGACGACTCCTCGGCGTGCGATCTCTTCGAGGAGCCGCTGTCCGGGTGGCGGCTGCTGGTGCAGCAGTACGTCGCGCTGACGATGAAGCGCTACCACTACGTGCGCAGGGACCCCAGGGCACTCTTCACGCAGGTCAGTGGGCCAGAAGACCGGTGGAGGCGGTCAAAATCCCGGACGCGTTTTGAGCTCCAGAGTCGCTGAACAGGACTCGAACCGAACGTGTGACCCCACCAATGGATTGCTCTCCGAACGAGGAATCCATTTGTGGGGTCACACGTTTAGCGACTGTGATTTTACTTACATTACATTGATGAAAATTGTGGTTTTTGATGTAGCTGGTGCTGCCTGCCTTCTTCGTGACGCTGGCGCTGGTGCTTTCCAACTCGCAATCCGGAGCCTACGGACCACAGCCCGATCTACTCCTGCGGACAGAAATGTTCGGCAACCCGGCCGTTGGCTTCTTCGAGCAGCTACACGACGCGCCTCAGGTCAGTGCCGCTCTAAACCGCCCTAAACGAAACGACTACACTCTAAATATGGGATGCCCAGCAACTGGGCGCCTTTGTCGCCCGCCCCACTTTTTAGGGTGCCAAATGTCGCCCAATTCCTGGGCACCTTTGTCACCCAGTCTCGGGGTGGACAAACCATTAAGAAACCTGCCTTCACCCATGGCTCAGCAGCGACTGAGGTGCCGAAGGTGCCCAGAATCTAGGCACCTTAGTCGCCCAGGATCTAGACACCTGACCATGCTCTACCATGCGAGAGGGCCGGCTACTGTATGATTTGTCCACCCCGAGACTGGGCGACAAAGGTGCCCAGAAACTGGGTGACATTTGGCACCCTAAAAAGTGGGGCGGGCGACAAAGGCGCCCAGTTGCTGGGCACCCCATATTTAGAGTGTAGTAGTTTAGTGAATACTACAAATCGCTAAATACCATATCAAATCCTATGAACTATTTTATGCCGTACTAAGAAAAGTAGCTTGTTATAACAAAGTATTTTGAGCATACATAAGCTTACACAGAAAATACTTCGTCATTTACTGACTATTTCCTCGCCTAACAAACCAAATAATTTGTACCGCAAAAAGGCTCTAAATACTTCCCTCCGCTGAACCAAAGACGCTATTTTTAAAGCGGCACTGTACGGACCTTGACTTTACTCTTCACCCTCAGATTCTTATGATGAAATGGTCATCGTAACATACGTTGAAATGAGAATATACGTACTACGATAAAATTCATGCGTAATACGATGAAATCATGTATACCTTACGCTGAAAAGCATATTACGTTTGTGCAAATTAATGCGTATCTTACGATGAATAACCATCGTAATACGTGTAAAAACGATCAAAAGATGTTGAGTGTGTTGTTCCATAAGCCTTTCATCACCGAGCAATGCTTGCCTCTCTCCAGAGCACGTGGAGCGACCGCTACCTCTCCTCGATGTTGTTGGACGGCGTGGGCTTCAACCTGGCCGCAGGGGACGCCATTCGACGAAGCGAACGGACCAACGACGTCAACGACTGGACCTGCAGCAACTCGCCACCGGTCAGTCACTGTAAAAAAATTCCGTACTTTTGTACGGAAAATGTACAGACAAATATAGTACGGAAGTACGGAAAAAAGTACGGAACGTCCGTACCTGTTCCATAAGAACTCATGTAATCTGGTACGGAAAAATAGTACAGAAGTTCCGTAGTAGGTCAGGTACGGACGGTCCAGGCAAATTATTGACCAGACATGTTCCGTACTTTTTCTGTACTTTTTTCTGGCAGTGGTCTCTCGATGAAGTCTCTGACTTCGTCTCCTGATAGCTATTTTACCGCACCGCAAAATTTACCGCGTACTTCAGAGGAGTGTACGGAGTGCACGATAACAAGGAATGTACTAGCAAGGACACATCTATACAGCTACAGGAGTGCACTAACAAGGACACATCAACAGGAGTGTAACAGGAGTTTGATTGACAATCATAGCTACAGGATTCAGTTCATGAGGTGAGAGTGTGCTTTCTTAAGTACGCAGAAGTGTCATGTTAGACAAAGTAAACAGGTAAGCTTATACGAGTGTTCTTGCTTAAGTACACTCCTATAGGTGTGTCCTTTCTCCTATGGCACTCGTATAGGTGTCAACTGGCACTCGTATAGGTGTCAACTAAGTTCACATTAGATCTAGTGCATCCAGTTACGTTGAGTTACCGACTACTCTTAAATCTCCGCGTCTTATAGAACCAATCTGAACTAGCCGTCATTCATTCAGAATCCATCAGTTCCATCGCACTTACTTTTGTGCTATTTGCATTTGTTTTCCAGAGCACCGATGCACCTTCCGTGACTCTTCCGAGTGGAGAGCTGTTTTATAATGCTACAGACTCGGAAGTCGAAGACTGGCTCGTTGGGTCTGAACAACACTGCAAAGGGAACCGGTACGATCGCACTCTCAGCATCCGACCTCTCAGCGATTTCAACATTGAGCTATTCACTACAGTAATAAATCTATTTCTTTACCGAACAGGTATGGCGGTGTCTCATTTGGAGCTCAATACAAAGCTACGCCATCTATATTGAATCAAGCAGACAGTGTTAAGGTAGGTGTACGCCAGACCGAAGCTTAATGTGGAAATGTTCTCAGCAATTTAGTAGTTCCGGCCAATGAACAATCCGTATTTTCCGACGCTGAACAAAACCTTCGTTAGTTCTACATGTTTGGGTCTTATCTAAACGTGCCTCACTATCTATACTGAGCTGCGATTAAATTTTCTAGAAACTTAAATCGCTACCCAAAGACTTGTTTTATTGATACCCATGAAACTCTTCCATGAATCTTTGAGCGAAACAGTTGTTAGGTAGTCTGTTTCCGTTTGCATCAATGTATAATTAAACCTATTATAAAAAGTCCACTCCTGAAATCTGTTAATAATCTTTTACTTATAATCGTTTAGATGATAACTGAACACTCTCATTCCAGGATGACATCACGTTGAAACGAACGTGACAAAATGTCACGTTCGTTTGAGCATTGTGTCACATTCGTTTGGGTGTGAATTGGCCAAAAATCAGCTTGTTCACATTCAAACGAACGTGACACAGTGCTCAAACGAACGTGACAGTTTGTCACGTTCGTTTAAACGTGATGCCACGTTCCTGGAATGAGAGTGAAGTTCATACAATTTTGCTGTCTTTTAATTTTATTTTTTTCATCGTCGAATTTATTATGTTACCTTACACAGGTGTGGTTCAACCCCGACGGCTACCATTCGGTGCCCACCTACCTGAATGCCATCAACAACGTGCTTCTGCGAGCGTCGCTCCCCGCCGGCACCGACGCCAGGCAGTACGGCATCGCCACGTCCAGCTGGCCGCTGCCGCCGGACCCCGTCAAGAAGCACACGCAGATCGTGGACCCACTGTAAGTGTGCATCGAGAAACCGAACAGTGGGCCAGAAGACCGGTGGAGGCGGCCCGAATCCCGGACGCGTTTTGAGCTCCAGAGTCGCTAAATGGGACTCGAACCGAACGTGTGACCCCACCAATGGATTGCTCTTCGAACGAGGAATCCATTGGTGGGATCACACCTTCGGTTCGAGCCCTGTTTAGCGACTCTAGACCTCAAAACGCGTCCGGGATTTTGACCGCCTCCACCGGTCTTCTGGCCCACTGTGCAGCGCGGAGGAATGTGCTCTTAACTCAACTGGACTCTGACTGCAGGGAACTGAGTGTGGTGCTGTCGTCGGCCATCACGGTCATCTTCGCCATGAGTTTCGTGCCTGCGTCCTTCGTCATGTTCCTGGTGGAGGACCGCGTCGTCCAGACCAAACACCTGCAGCTCGTGTCGGGACTGCGCTCCTACATCTACTGGGTGCAGACCTACACGTGGGACTTGGTGAGAATGAGATTGCATGGTGACGTGCCTGTGGGTGGGAACTGAGAATCAAAGAGACTGAAATTTTGGGTGAGGTATGGATGGTCTGTCAAATTTTGGTGAGGAGTTTTTTTTTATCGTCCAGCTTGGGGTGATGAAGGTTTTCTCACCTGAATTTGGGTAATTGTCTACCTTGTGTAGATACCATTCAAATTTGAATGATAAAACAATCCTCACGCAAATATAAGCAATCAAACACACCTCACCCAAAATTTCGCAAATTATCAAGAACCCTTCCTTCTCAGTTCACTTCAGCACTGCGCAGACTGATTCCGAAACAAGTCCTCATCTAATCGTTTACTTTGCAGGTGAGCTTCTTGATATCCGAAATACTCGTCATCATCATATTTTTGGCCTTCCAAATTCCGTCCTACACGTCTGGCAACAATCTGGCGGCCGTCTTCCTCCTCATTTTAACCTATGGGTACGTGTCCCTGTAAAATCGATAAATTTATCTAGTTTACTGGTGAATCGATAGCGTAGGCTGAAACTGTAGACGCTTTTTGAGCTCCAGAGTCGCTAACAGGACTCGAACTGAGCTTGTGACCCACCGATGGATTCCTTGTTCGGAGAGCAATCCATTGGTGGGGTCACACGTTCGCTTCGAGTCCCATTTAGCGACTCTGTAGCTCAAAACGCGTTCGGGGTTTTGACCGCCTCCGCCGGTCTTCTGGCCCACTGTGCGTCTTTCTTCCACTGACATACCGATTTGACCTGTTTGTCACAGAATGGCGTGTACGCCGCTGCTGTACCTCTTCTCGTGGATCTTCCGCGTTCCCACAATGGCCTTCCTGGTGCTGTCGACGGGCAACTTGTTCGTCGGACTGGTCACCACCATCACCATCATGGTCATGAAGATTACGGCAGACCCTGTGAGTAGTCTAGGACCAGATAAAGAAAAGGATACTTACCAAAAGGAAATTCATTATTTACCCTCATTTTCTTTCTCTTTCCAGGATGTTGTGAACGTGGTTTCGTCGTTGTTCTTGGTTGCCCCACAATTCTGTCTGGGTCAGGGTCTTATGAACATGGCCATGAACTTCTTCCAGAACCAGTACTTGGAATTTCAAGGTACCTACTGTTTTTGTTCAAGACATGATTTCACTGCCAGTTTCAGGACACGCCATGTGATGGCTTGGCTCCATGGGATTGAACTCATTGCAAGCAACCAGTGCACAGTGGCCCACAAGACCGGTGCTGCTGGCGGCCAAAACTCCAGACGCGTTATGACGTTCAGAGTCGCTAAACAGGACTCGAACCGAGCGTGTGACCCCACCAATGGATTCCTCGTTCGGAGAGCAATCCATTGGTGGGGTCACACGTTCGGTTCGAATCCTATTTAGCGACTCTGGAGGTCGAAACGCGTTTGAGGGTTTGACCGCCTCCGCCGGTCTTCTGGCCCTCTGTGCTGTGGCCACCGGCTGTTCATTCATTCATTCATTCATTCATTCATTCATTCATTCATTCATTCATTCATTCATTCATTCATTCATTCGATGAACCAATGATTGAATCAATCAATCAATGAATTAACCAATCAATTAATGAATTAACCAATCAATTAATGAATTAACCAATCAATTAATGAATTCACCAATCAATTAATGAATTCACCAATCAATTAATCAATTAACCAATCAATTAATGAATTAATCAATCAACCAAAGCTAGAAAGATTGCCCTCTGCCCTGCAGGCCTGGACCCCAAGCCCACGATGTCTTGGGACGTGACGGGCAAGTACATCGTGGCCATGCTCGTCATGTCGGCGGTGCTGGCGTGCGCCGTCTTCCTGGCCGAGCAGAGCACACACTGGTGGCACGGCTTCATGCAGAACAAGTCCAACTTCGTGGAGAGCAGGGAGGCCGAGGAGGAGGACGTGCGTCGCGAAGTGCAGCGCGTCGATGCGGGCCACGCCGACCAAGGGATGCTGGTGCTGAAGCGACTCACCAAGGTAAACTGGCACCTACACTGAGAATCCAAACGCTATGAGTATAGCGTCAATTGGTGCAATGCGAAAGCATTGCACATGAAGTGCAATGCCTCCCTATTCCCATGCATTGGCATAGGGCATTTTCGGGATGCATTGCACGTAAGGTGCAATATGGCTGAGGCATTGCACGTATGGTGCGATATCTCGACGCATTGCACCATACGTGCAATACTCATAGCGTTTGGAATTTCAGTGTAGACACTAAATGTTTTTGTGCAAATTTTGTACGAGACATCACAGTTTTTTTTGTGCACACGAACTTTCCGTACAAATTTGTACAAAATTTTGTACAATTTTGCACAAAAATGGCGAAAAATGTGCATTTTTTTCGTACGAAAATTGTACGAAAATTTCGCGTGCACTAAAAACCGTGATGTCTCGTACTAAATTGTACATAACATTAAGTGTGTACACTGGTTAAAAAACGAAGCCGTAACATGGCGTTTTTCGTAAAGCGTTCACTGTGAAAATTTGGGTTGTCACACGCGTACGCTAAGCGTTTCTGTACAATTTTGTTCTGATTTGCAGCGCTACGCGCGGAAGGCCACCCCCGCTGTGGCCGGCGTGTCCTTCGGGGTGGAGCGCGGCCAGTGCTTCGGACTGCTGGGCCTCAACGGCGCCGGCAAGACGTCCATCTTCAAGATGCTGACCGGAGACACCCTCATCTCGGGTGGCGACGCGCTGGTGAGTTTCCAGTGTGTCAAGGAATTGGTTCAGGATGCAAACTGCCGTTCCTCTTTCGTCGAACACAAAGATGCCTTTAACTAATAGTTTCAAATCTCGACAGTTTTAACTTAAAATTTAATGAATGGAGTAGAAAACAAAAGGGAAATTGGACCCTAGTTGTTCGAAGCGTTTAATCGTTTTATCGCAATTTTCTGGCAGAGTTTCGCTCAATCCGGGAGATAACTTGACTCCATCCAAATTTGTACACCAGAATTCGTCAAAAATTCAAAATTTACTTGAATTTATTCAAATTCTTATCAAAATTCAGTAGTTTTTGCTCGAAATTCATCGAAATTTACCTGGAACTCATTTGATTTGTACACTCAAATTCAGTTGTTTCCCCTTGTATTGTACGATATTTTGTCTTGCTTTTTAAATGTAAGCTTACTTATTAATTTGTCGCTTTAATTCTCTCTTTCTCCACGCTTCCAGGTTAGCGGCCGCTCCGTGCGCGCGGACATGGACGCCGTGCGCCGCATGACGGGCTACTGCCCGCAGTTCGACGCGTTGGTGTCCCTCCTCACGGTCAAGGAGCACCTGGAGCTGTACAGCAGCATCCACGGAACGCAGGCCAGGCTCCGTCCCACTGTGAGTACATTCCACTCGGCCCTTTAAATTGTAGAAGGCCTAGAGACTATTTATATGTACCCACAGGGTGTTAAAAAGTGTTCCAAAATTTCAACACAAACTTTGGGCAAGGGCGCTCATCACTCGTATGATGGAGCACTCTTAAAAGCCTACGAAGCACTTTCTTCATAACTACAAAGAAAATGAAGGCATTGTAGAATTGCTTCGTAATACGAAGCGTTTCTTCGTAGATTTTACAATGCCTTCATTTTCTTCGTATTACAAAGCGGTTCTTCGTAGAGTTTTTACTGTGAGAGTGTACAAACCAAATTCCTGTCTACAATGTTTGTGCGTGGTGTCACACAACTTTGCGCATACGTGCTGTACGTACGTACAAATTTATTCTCAATTTCTGAAAACTTCCGTGCGCATCGAGAAACACACTCATGGCACTGCAGTCTGTTCCAAATGAGTAGCAGTGTACAAGAGCGTCGTATTTCATTTCAGGCCGTTCGTCGCGCCATTCAAATGTTCGACCTGGAAAAGCACCAGGACAAGCAAGCGCGGTCGCTGTCCGGCGGAAACAAGCGCAAGCTGTCGGCGGCCATCTCGCTGGTCGGTGACCCGTCCCTCCTGTACATGGTGAGTCTCTCTCTCTCTCTCTCTCTCTCATGCACAATCTTGTGACACAATTTGACTCATATCCCTCCGATAAATCATTTTTCAAAACTTAAAAAAACTCTCTCTCTCTCTCTCTCTCTCGCGCGCGCTCGCTCTCTCTCTCTCTCTCTCTCTCTCTCTCCGTTTCTCTCATGCACAATCTTGTGACAAAATTTGACTCATATCCCTCCGATAAATCATTTTGCAAACTTAAAAAACTCTCTCTCTCTCTCTCTCTCTCTCTCTCTCTCTCTCCTTGGGTGGGCAGAGGACATTTTGATGCCTTCAGGGTAGGTATCCCACCGTGGCGATAGGGGTAACGCCCAGTATGTAAGCAACCCATCGCGCTTCTAAGCGCCCTGAGGATGAACGCCTGGTGTGTAGGCAACTTATCGCACCGCTTCGTCCTGTGTGGCGTCGACCAGCGGTTATGTGTCGCTTGTCTCGTCCTCATTTGAACTTGAACTTGAGAGGCTAGACCACAACTGATCCTTTGCCGTGAGGTAAAGGGAGGTAGAGTTCTAGACTTTGGAACCCCAGAGGGAGGTAGTGGATCAGAGAAGAGGTCCTAGGTCCTCTAGGCCGGAGGACGGTGGAGGCGGCCAAAACTCTAGATGAGTTTTAAGCCCCAGAGTCGCTAAGGACTCGAACCGAACGTGTGACCCCACCAATGGATTCCTCGTTCGGAGAGCAATCCATTGGTGGGGTCACACGTTCGGTTCGAGTCCCATTTAGCGACTCTGGAGGTCAGAACGCGTCCGGGATTTTGGCCGCCTCCACCGGTCTTCTGGCCCACTGTGCCCCGTCGTCACCAGAGTCTCCGGCCTGTTTGCAGGACGAGCCCACGACGAGCATGGACCCGGTGGCGCGGCGCTTCGTGTGGCAGCGCGTGCGGCGCGTGGTGGCGGCCGGCCGGTCCGTGCTGCTCACCTCGCACAGCATGGAGGAGTGCGAGGCGCTCTGCGACAGACTCACCATCATGGTCAACGGCAAGCTCACCTGCATCGGCAGTCCGCAGCATCTCAAGCACAAGTAGGTCCCGCACAGTGGGCCAGAAGACCGGTGCAGGCGGCCAAAACTCCAGACGCGTTTTGAGCTCCAGAGTCGCTAAATGGGACTCGAACCGAACGTGTGACCCCTCCAATGGATGGCTCTCCGAACGAGGAGACCATTGGTGGGCTCACACGTTCGGTTCGAGTCCCATTTAGCGACTCTGGAGATCAAAACGCGTCTAGAGTTTTGGCCGCCGCCACCAGTCTTCTGGCCCACTGTGTCCCGGCAGGAATTTGGGTCATTATGGGTCACACAGCCTGATGGTCTCAAGTGATGAAGTATATTGAATCATTTTGGCCGTTGGACTTTTCGAAAAACGGCAAATTTTCCCGAAAGAGCCGAAAAACAGCAGTTTGGTCGTTTTCACTTCTCAAATTTTTTTGCGGTTCGATCCCTAAGTCCTGTCACGTGTTACAAAAAAAAAGTCTAAACTGCTATCAAAATACCCAAGAAATGAATGATTTTTTTTGTTTATTTTTGTGATGACCCGTATCAGTATTGAGGAAACCATTTGTTGACCATTCATAGAACGCTAACGGGGTCTTATTTGAAACAGGTACGGATCCGGGTACATGGCAGTGGTGCGGTGTCCGATAGAGAGGGTCGGAGAAGCCCAATCAATGCTACTGAGCCAAATGCCAGGCACATCTGTCAAGGAAGCACATCTTTATCAGGTAATATTTCACTCAGGTGAAGGAAACTGTGACAGAAAATGTGCTGTAATGTTTACCTCTATGACTCCAAACAGTTGCAGTATTAATAATTAAGTTGTTGCTTTTTTTTTTTCAAAATGCAAGTTCCGTTTTCTCTAAAGAGTAGATTTTTATAAAGAAAGTGATGAAAAATCCGCAACAAGTTAACGTAAACTTACTTTTTGTTAGCGTAAAATAAAATTAAATCTTGCATGTTACTTTTGCCATGGACCACGCTCAAATTTTATTGAATTTTTCTATAGAAACTCTACATGTAGGATTACTTTCATTGTGCTTATAGCCGTTAAAATACGGAAAATGCATGATCTCAAGATTTTCTAGAGCCAAACGCCGTACTGTTGCAGATTAAACTCCAGATACCACCTGAAACGCTGTTGGCGAATATCTTCCATTCGCTGGACAATGCCCGGCGCCATGGCTGTGTGACTGACTACTCCGTCTCGCAAACCACGCTTGAGGACGTAAGTTGCTGGCAAGACATTAAAAAAACATTTTGTCTCTGTTTTTTTTTTTAAGTTGTGGGCACAAAATTAATCTTGAGCTTTAAAGACATAGCCCACATGGCAACCGAAAAATTGTGAAAGCTCCTCCCTCATAATCTTTAATGAAGAAAACGATGGAATGAAGAAGAACCATTGTTCAGTTTCTATATTTTTCTAGCAACTTTGGGCTTAACTACGCTATGAGTTCCATATGAGTTACATAAGATTCTTTAATTAAGGATTTAATTAAGTCTTCTCCCTGTCAATGTACGCTGTTTCTAGTACTGTCAAAGAAATATTCGCATTCCTGATAAATTTTATGCATGTTTAACATTTTTGGCGAGAACTGATTTATAACTCATTGACAATCTTTCAAAACCATGTGTTGTCTTTTTTTCAGGTGTTTATGCAGTTTGCTGAGGCGCAGAAATCACAGTCCTCATGAGAGGATGAACGCAGCTATCTTATCAATACAGTACTTTTATTTTTTGGACTGGAAATGCACAAGTTGCAAGGTGCTGCTTCAAATAGGTGTACTTAATTAACTAGGTATGAAAATTCCAAAGTCTGATTTTAAAATTTGGGTTTGATGTTCAGAGGAGAAGAGCTAAAAATCTGTCGTTAACTTTGAAACCAAAATTACATGCAAGCCGTTGTACAGTAACTAGAATTGTGATAAGGATTTTTAAGCATATAGGCTATGAGTGAAGTTTTTTGGAAGAGGCTGGAATCTTCCCTTTTATTTCTTGAAACTTAAAATCTTGTCACACAGCAAACCTTTTACAGTGTGCTATGCAAGACGTTTGAGATCCAATTTTTGGTTTGGCTTGGATTTTCAGAATATGGCACCCTGGCACTAGATGTGTTTCTAAAACGAGGGTTCTGTGACTGATCTTATTGTTCCTATGCAAAGATAAGGAGTGATCATCTCCCCCATTTCGTGTGCTTCACTGTGACCAAAACATTTTTAAAACTGTGATTTTAGTGACATGTGACTTATTTAAATAAAAACACAAACAAATGGATATGTGCGTGCATTTTATTTTGTTTAATCTCAGACGACACCAACAAAGGCAAATCTACGATAAGTCTGTGTCAAATCCACATTAAATCTACACCGAGGGGCAAACAACTTCGTCATAAAATTTGTACACCGTTATTTCAAACTCGTTATTTCACTCTATTTTAAAATTATTTGAAGGGTATTTCAACGTTATTTCGCGTTATTTCACGATTTTTCGCGTTACTTAGCCGTTATATCACCGTTATTTCAACGTCATTTCAATGTTATTTCACCGACATTTCACGTTATTTCAAGGAAAATGTGCACCTAAATTCCAGTTGTTCGCCCCTTGATACCATGCGACGAAAAATTGGCAATGTGTAACAGAGAACACTGTGAGAAAAAAGTACGGAACATGTCTGGTCAATAATTTGCCTGGACCGTCCGTACTTGCCAACTATGGAACGTTCCGTACCTTTTTTCCGTACCCATTTACATGGGTTCATATGGAGCAAGCACGGAACGTTCCGTACTTTTCTCCGCACCTCCGTACTACATTTTTCTGTACCATTTCCGCACCAACGTACGGAATTTTTTACAGTGTAACTCGGAGCCCTCTGAGGAGCGCGGTCTGTGCAGTCTTCCTTATCAGCATGCAGCATGCCGATAGCGGCGGCCGGCGGCTCTCACGCGTTCTGGAGGGTCCGGGCCCTGCGTGGGCCGACTGCATGCTGACACCTTTCGTGGTGTACCTACCTGGGCAGAAGGGTCGGGCGCGCTTGCTGCGGCGCGGCGAGCAAAGCACGCAGAGCGCCGTGTGTTGACTTTGCCGACACTCTGTCACCGACCGTATTCCGGTTTACTATGTAGAGGGTTCTCTCTCTCTCTCTCTCTCTCTCTCTCTCTCTCTCTCTCTCTCTCTCTCTCTCACACACACACACATACAAGCTCTCTCGCTCTCTCTCTCACACACACGCTCTCTCTCTCTCTCTCTCTCTCTCTCTCTCTCTCTCTCACTCACTCACACACACACACACACACACACGATGCTAGAGAGACTCAGACTCTCGAGCCACAGGTGCGCCGACTGTCTTCCTCTCTACCGGATACTGGAGAGACTGAGAGACTTCCAAAGCGCAGCCGTGACGACTCTATTCCTCTGAGTCTCTCTATTCTCTAAAGCCCACACAATTAGAGAGTCTCAGAGACCCTCCCGAGTCGCGTCTCTTCTCTATTTGTACTCGTCACCAGAGAGTCTCCTAGAGACTTTCCGTCCGAGTCGCAGCCGTCACGACTCTCGTTCTCTGCGTCTCTCTACTCTCTACCTGACCCAAGAAAGTTCGAGAGAGACTCTGTCTCGAGTCACGGCCGCGACAACTCTCTCTCTCTCTTTCTGAGTCTGTCTACTCCCCACCCATCATTCAGAGTCTCAGAGAGACTTCGGAGTCGCGGTCGCGACGACTCTCTTTTTCCGTCTCTAATCTCACACGATTCTAGAGAGACTTGCGAGTCGCTGCTGAGACGGACTCTCTCCCTCTAAGTCTCTCTACTCTCTTCTCTTCACCGATAACCGACAGGTGCGGCCCCCCCCCCCCCCCGAGTCATTTTTGCCCTGCCCCTCCGCCAAAGTTGCCAAAAAAATAAACAAAGGCTCCAGGACCCTTCCTTATCTCCGCTCGCAGCCGCCAGGACGCCGCCGATCATACCTGGGCCAAGCAAACACGGCAAGGCAGTCGCAGGCAGATCCTTTCTCTGTGGGCGAACCGTTTTTCTGGAACGAAGGACAAAATTTTCACGCTTGCAAGCGTCGCGCCTGCACAGTGGGCCAGAAGACCGGACGAGGCGTTCAAAATCTCCGACGCGTTTTGAGCTCCAGAGTCGCTAAATGGGACTCGAACCGAACGTGTGACCCCACCAATGGATTGCTCTCCGAACGAGGAGTCCATTGGTGCACAGTAAAAACTCTACGAAGAATCGCTTCGTAATACGAACGAGGAATCCATTGGTGGGGTCACACGTGCGGTTCGAGTCCGGTGGTGCCGTCGACCAAAACTCTGGACGCGTTTTGAGCTCCAGAAAACGTTAAACAGTACTCGAACCGAACGTGTGACCCCACCAATGGATTGCTCTCCGAACGAGGAATCCATTGGTGGGGTCGCACGTTCGGTTCGAGTCCCATTTAGTGACTCTAGAGCTCAAAACGCGTCTCAGAGTTTTGGCCGCCTCCACCGGTCTTCTGGCCCACTGTGCGGTGCACTGTTTGTGCGTGCCGTGCGCCCAGGTGTGCATTATGCGCTCGCTGCCCCGCCGCAGCCCTTTGCACTTGTTTGTAAGGTTTATACGACCCCTCCCCTGCCCCCGTCCCCTCGCCCGTGGCAGTGCACCTGCGAGACCGGAAGCGGCGACGCAGCCGGGCAAATTAGACAATTCGGGACGACACGCGGCGACACAGTGGGCCAGAAGACCGGTGGAGGCGGCCAAAACTCTGGACGCGTTTTGAGCTCCAGAGTCGCTAATCAGGGCTCGAACCGAACGTGTGACCCCCTAAACACTTCCGCGCCGAAGCCTCACCTAACATTCAGCCGGTGCGAGAACATGGTTCTCGTGGCGTGAAAGTGCTATGGATTTCTCGTTCAGAGAGCAATCCATTGGTGGGGTCACACGTTCGGTTCGAGTCCTGTTTAGCGACTTCTGGAGCTCAAAACGCGTCCAGAGTTTTGGCCGCCGGCACCCCCGGCACCGGTCTTCGGGCCCATTGCGGTCCGACCGGGCCTGACCGTGTTCGGTCCGACCGGGCCGACCAAGCGTTGGACAGTTTGTCCCACGTCATCTACGTCATCTAGAGCATGCCTGCCTAACACTTTGATTTGCAGTGCAGACGGAAGCCGCGAGTTCTAGCTCTACACGGTAAAAACGGAACCTGGTGGTTCCCAGGAAGCCAATGGTGAAGGCATTTTGGCGATTTCCAGGGAGTTCCTTGGGAAAACCAGGAACCGTTTTTAAAACCGTGTTGTGTTCCAGCAGTGTAAGTGCCAAAGCGCATGTTGCGACCGCGTCGAAAGTCATCCAACCCACAGTGGGCCAGAAGACCGGTGGAGGCGGCCAAAACTCTGAACGCGTTTTGAGCTCCAGAGTGTGACCCCACCAATGGATTCCTCGTTCGGAGAGCAATCAATTGGTGGGGTCACACGTTCGGTTCTAGTCCTGTTTAGCGACTCTGGGGCTCAAAACGCGTTCAGAGTTTTAGCCGCCGCCGCCTCCACCGGCTTCTGGCTCACTGTGCAACCTCAGCTCTCAAAATCCGAATTTTCACGTGGCGTTTACTACCGTTCGAAACGTCTCGCCGTTAGGAATACGTTGGTGTGCTTCAACCCGTTCCGATTTTTAACGCAAACTTGACAAGGCTTGAGCGGAAGGCGTTCAGCGCCTGAACGCGCCCCTCCCCCACACTGCCGCCACGCAGCCGGCCGGCACCTGCAGGCCGATTCCGAGCGGGAGGTGGTACTCCCTCCCTCTCTCTCTTGCACCAGTGGGAAGTCACGTTGTAGTGCGAGAGAGACAGCAACGGGTGGTTCGGATCGGACGGGGCACCCACTACCCCCCACCCTCGCCGGCCGTGCCGCCAGCCAGCGCGAGCGACGCGAGGAGCGAGGCGCCATTCGCTCGCACTCGCAGTTGCAGTCCAGCAGAGCTCCGCGGCGCCACGCGGACCTGTTCACCGAGGAGCCCCTGCAGGCCATCAACACGACGCGCGGCGTGCTGCGTGTCGCCGAAGTCGCGCCCAGGACGGCGACACAGCGCCATGCTCGCGTTCGACGCCCTGGTGTCCCACGCGGTGAGGCCATCGCCACCAGGACGCCGTCGGCGGCCTCGCCGTCATCCTGCAGTGTGCCGCCGTCGTGTCCAGGGCCCACTGCACCACGCCGTCGTCCTCGGCGAGGACGGCGCCGGAGACCTCGAGCCTTCTGCACCTCGCCGTCGTCCTCGCGTCCACTGCACCTCGCCGTCGTCCTTGGTGAGGCCGGCGTCCTCTCATCCTCCGCACCATGGCGACGCCGGCGGCCTGCCACCTGCTGCACCACGCCGTCGTCCTTGTTGACGACGCCGTCGACCTAGGCGCCTGCTGCACCTCGCCGTCGTCCTCCGGTGACCTCTGCTGCACCTCGCCGTCGTCCTCCGGTGACCTCTGCTGCACCTCGCCGTCGACCTCGTGCCTGCTGCACCTCGCCACCGTCCTCGTGTTCAAGACCATGCCGGTGGCCTCTCGGCTGCTGCACCTCGCCGTCGACCTCGTTGAAGACGCCTGCGGTCGTCCTGGCGCCTGCTGCACCTCGCCGTCGACCTCGATGGCGACGCCGGTGACCTCGCACCGGTGCAGCACGCCGCCGTCGTCTTCTCTCGTGGAAGATGCACTTCGCCACGAGAAGGACCGCCACAACTTTGGCGCGCCGTTCATGTGAGTACCCGGTACCTGTTACCGTTTTAGCTCTCCATCTTCAACCACGAGGGGGCAACCACTCGTAATGTTTTTGTACACAGAATTCTTCAAAGGTAGGGATTTTGTCCAGATTTGGCTGGATTTCGCGTCAAAATTAAGCCAGATTTCGTGAGGTTTTGGTGGGATTTCGCGAGATTTCACCAGATTTTGATGGGTTTTCGTGAGATTTCAAAGGGATTTCGCGAGATTTCTACCGATTTCGCGCAAGATTTCGGCAAATCAAAAGTGTACACAGGGCTTTCGCGAATGGTTGCCCCCTCGTTTAATGGCAATGGTGTGCCCCGTGCGCACGGAAAAAAGTTGTTCCAGTGTTTCAGTAACTTTTCAATCCGAATTTTTGACTGTCGCTTTTAGCATGCCAAGTTTTGTCGTCGAGTGCCAAAGTTCGGTGCTCACGGTGCTCTTGGGTACAAGATGGGTCATTTTAATTTTTACTCTGGGCTACAACTTGGCGGCAAGAAATACTGTTGAAGGATTAGTACCAAAATTGCAATGGGATGAGTTAAAAAATTTTCGCTGGTTGT